CTCTCTCTCACTCTCATTCTGCTCCATCTGTTCCACTCGATCTCTTCTGCTAACAGCCGCCTGTTAATTGCTCATTTCCCAGGCTGTGTGCAGTTTCTTTGAGCATATATTGTTTCACCTTCTGAATTCTGTCATTTTTCTGCCCTCTGTTTGACCTGCGCCTCCTTTCACCCCTAGCAACGCAGAGCAAATGCAGTCCTGGATCACCCGCATCAACATAGTGGCCGCCATGTTCTCTGCCCCTCCCTTCCCAGCAGCCATTGGCTCCCAAAAGAAGTTTAGCCGTACCCTTCTGCCGGGCTCAAACACCAAACTCTCACAGGTACCAGACACATCTGAAGGGGCTGTCACACTACACTTTTCATTCTATTCACTTCCATACATACGCATGCAAATGATGGAAATAGGGTGACCACCATCAAACAAACCAAATGTGGGACGATTATAAGTTTGTGTGGGACAATGTGGGACATGTTACCAGCACTAAAACATACCCTGAAACTGTTATATAATGTCTATCTAACTTAATAAAAACATTTGTACTCTGCCTTTCAGCTGATAAAAATTCTTTGTTCTTTAGTCCCTTCCAGAAAAAAACCCCAAATCTTTATTTTACATGTCATTTAAATTCAACATCACTGAGCCCAAAGGCAGTGGGCATCATGCAGATAACTATTTAAGAAACAGTTCTGACTAAAATAAACAATGAACAAATAAAATATAAAACAACATGAAATTAGATAGACAGTCTTATATTTTAAGAATATATTAAAAACCAAAACCTTTCATAATTTTAGAAAGGATGTGAATTAAAACAAGCACAGCAGGCAACAGGTTAAACAACAACCGATGAATTCTGTTAAATTAAAAAAAATAATAATAATAATTTTAAAAAAATACAGAATTATCCATTTGTTTTCTGACAGTAACACATGGAAGGAATCACCGATCCACATTTTGATTGACAGCCGTCACAACCCACTAGTGACCGTGTTTACTACTTTCTTTTCAACCATTGGACAAAATATAAAAAACGGCTGTTGTATTTGTACTCATGACGAAGCGCTGTTAAATATAGCTGAAAAACTACGCTGCAAAAATAATAAATAAAATGCTTTCAAAAAGGCAAAAGAATGCATCTACTTTTTCTTAATATGACAATTAAAAACCAATAGACTGATGAAAATGCGGGACATTTCCTCAATATGCGACGTGCAGGACAAGGGGTGAAAAATGCTGCGCAGTACAACGCAAAGCGGGACGGGTGGTCACCCTAATTGCAAAGTATTGTTTGCCTGGTCTACAATTCTGAGCATTTTCCCATTGTTGACTCGCCTTGATTTTGGATTATCTGCCTTGTTATACGGTTTACTCTCTTGGATTTTTGTTTTGGATTTGATTGCCTGTTTGGACTGTTTATTGGCTAACTTATGACTCTGTGATATTCACCCTTTTGTGTCTAATAAATCTCGGCATATGGATCCTTCTGCTCCCCCTAAGTCTAATGTTACAGTTGGTGACTTTGATTTTTGATACAAACGTTTTTTCAAATATTACTGCTTAATTATTTTTCACTTTTTAATAATTCCATGTTTTTGAAATAATATACTTGAGTTTTAACATATTAACAAAAGAAATGTTTTTTTTTCTTCATTATGATAATAGGAGGAGCAGCTTAAGTCTCACGAGACACGATTTCGAGCCATTTCTGCTGATCTCCAGGACCTGCGCTCTACCCTACACATAGACCGCAGGACCAAAAGCAAGGACCAAGAAGAGTACAAGCAAAGGGAAGAGTACCTGGACTTTGAGGTAAAAGCATCCCATTTTCACTCTGCCCTTCCCCTGGGACATTTTTGTGGACCTCAGATAAGCCATTTATACATCTTCCTTAATGTATCCTGTAGAAAACACGCTACGGAACATATGCAATGCTGCTGAGAGCTAAGATCCGGACGGGGGAAACAGACCTGGAAGCGTTTGAAGCCCGTTTGTTTGACGATGGTGGCCTGCAGAGGGCCCATTCCAGCCCCACGTTACCACAGGACCACAGTCATGCCAGCAGTCATGCAAGCAGTCACGCAAGCAGTCATGCCAGCAGCACCAAAGAGTCGAGCAGGAGCAGCAGCGGCGGCAGCAGGAGGACCAAACGCTCAGACGGTCAGAGACACAGCTACAGACAGGCTGTCAAACAGTGAGAGGACCAGGGCGTTAGAGGTAACTTATCTCCGTTCAGTGGCTGAATATATAGAGCATTACCAGGACGCCTGCAGTTCACTTTGATGGCTGCCCTCAAGTCGTCATGGTTATTAAACTGTGGTTGGGGTTGCTGTGCCCCACATGGCTGCTGGTAAAGCATGCGTTTCTGGCCACCAACTGCAAGCCCAAATCTGCCAGTGGGCAGAAGGGAAGGAGCACCAGCCTCACATTGTCTTATTTATGTCGGTCTTTGTTTTTGCCACAGACCTGTTCGGTTTATCTGTGTATTATGCTTGTTGATCGTCGGTTTAAAACACTCGTGGCTTTACGTTTGAACAAGCTGATGTTCAGACTTCATTTGGTGACCCTTGGAAGCGACAACCAAATCAATAGTGATCCTCTTTATCCTGTGAACTTACTGTATGTTGTTCACTTTATATATTTAAAGCATTGTAGATTTAGCTTGTAGATCATTTCATCATCTGAGATCGATCAAACGCTTTAACACCTCATAGGATGTTTGAGAATTTAGTCTGTAGTCATTTAAACCTTCTAAAAGCACGTCTCAAAGCATGCCTAAGAGTTTGAAGACAATCAGTTTCTCATTTGTGATAGTTATTGAGAATATGAATGCATTATTTTTGTTTATACCATAACTGATTAGTGATAATAGCAATGCAGATTGCTCATCCCTTGTGAGAAATAGGTGAGCTTAACTGGATTGAATATGCACTTCTAATCTTGAAAGTAATTTTTTTTTTAAATTGGACTTACAGATAATATAATATGAATGAAATTAATGGCCATTTAAGTGTGATGAAGTGCACTGCAAGTGTTTAACAAAAGTGCATTTTGTAATACATTAAAATGTAAAGTTTGACTTTTTTTAAAGTACATTGTAAATCATCATGTTTTAACAATCCTTTTTGTGTTTTAAACTAGTATGTTATGTGATTTTACATTTAAAGTTAATATATTTTAAATGTACTAAATAGCAACTTCATCATTAAAAAAATATTTAAATATGACTTCTAATTTTCAAAAGAAATTACATTAAATTGTATTTTAGTTTACAGTTAATGCTTGCCAGTACATTCGACAGTTAATTTAACCCTATTTCAAAGGCAGTAATTATGAAGTTACATATAAATATGTACTTAAGTCTTACTTAAAAAGTAAAAAAGACACTCTTTTATATTTAATATGCATTTAAAAAATACATTTTCATTTAATTGCAAATAGCATACAATTAACTGTCAGCAAAAAATTCCATTTAGTTCTCACTTCACAGAGAAGAATATTATTTTAAAGTATATTACATCTGTAATAAGTACTTTTTTAAGTATGCTGAAGTGTACTTCTTTTTCACAAGGGATTACGTGCTGTCATTTCAACAGGAATGTCTGAATGACTTTACTGACTAATAACCATGTGAAACGGTTGGTAAAAGTCATCACGATAATCGACCCCATTGTATTATTTAGTGTAATGTGTATTGAGCTTGAGAATGATGTGATGCAAATTCTCTGTGTCAAATCCCATTTGGATATGGCCAAGCCATTGAATTCTCAGGCAATCATTTTTCAAATTTGTAATTCATTCAGTGCTGTGGTAAAACACACTAAAAGGAGGCACTAAACGCTGGTTTGTCCAGAGCAACCACATCTTATACCTCAATTGCACTGAGACCTGCTCGAAGGAGTGTTATTTGGTCGGAAATAATTCTACCTGTTTACAAACTGATGCGTTCTTATGTTCAATGAATTCATGTGTAATATTGCTTCGTAGGAGAGTGAAGGTAAGCCTTTATGCTGCTTATCATAACCTCATGAATTGTCCTGTTGATATCAGAAACATGAAGGATCCAAGAAATTGTAAAACCTGTAAAAGAACACGCTAATGCAAATGAAGATCTAAACTGACTGTTAACACTGCCAGCATATAGATCAAATTCAGACATATAATACACTTGCAAAATCAGTTTGACATGATCTTGGACCCAAATTCCATCCAATGGCACTTCAATAGTGCTACGCTTCACTGCACTATGATTATTAGGTGTATTTAATGAAGAGAGTTATTTATATATTTTGAAATTTTATTATCAGTCTTGACTATTTGTTTGTGACCGAAGCTTATTGACTAAAAGGTTTATACCATTTTTTTAATAGGGAACACTTAACCACTCCAAGTAGTTTGGTGTCACCCAAAGATTTTGCTGTAAATGTAACTTATTTCTTATAAATTAGTTTTTGTGTTTGGTGTGTTTCATCCATTCTAGCTGTATATAATGTGAAAATTATGTTACAGCCGCTCCGTAAAAATAATGCTATGTTTGTATGTTTTAAAGGCATAGTAAATATGTTATAAAGGCAAAATAAATATGTTTTGAAAGGATAACTGTGAAAAGGATTCATATTTTTTAAATTATATATATATACACACACACACACACTACTGTTCAAAGTCTGATAGGGGGCACCCGGGGCAGATATGATTCGTTAACGTCTCTTAAGCTCAAGTATTCATTTTTGTACAACAATACAGAAAACAGTAATATACTGAAATATTACAATTGTAACTTTATTTTATATAATTTAAATTACAATGAATTCCTATGATGGCAAAGCTGAATTTTCAGCATCATTACTCCAGTCTTTACGGTCACATGATCCTTCCGAAATCATTCTAATATGCTGATTTGATGCTGAAGAAACATTATTTTTACTATTACTGCATGTATGCATATTTCTTTCCAATTCAGTCAGCATGTAGAACTCTGACATTACAAAGACACAGAATTATGAAATAATAACTTTATTAAAACACAAACATATTAGCTCACCTCTGAACAAACGTATAACTGCAACCAAAAATACACTTAAATAAAAAGTATGATGCATAAAGAAAATGCAAAGATGTGATTCACTTTAGATCACGTCGCTTAATTTTCAAAGGTTGCATATCAGAAGAGAGCATACTAAAACATCCATAGAACATTCCGCAAACATATTCCAAGGTTACAGCTGTGCTGGGGAAATGGCAATTTGTTGTTTAGATACAAGCACTGCACTAAGACTACAGTTTCACTCAAAACTTCAGAGTTTAGAGGATCAACTGATTTATGTCATGTTGTCTCACTGTTATGTAATACCAGTGAGGGCTTTTGACCTCAGAAAGATTCTTTTCAATCCTTCCTGTGATGTGCTGTATTTCCACTTTATTGAGATGAACGTTCCACCAGTTTGCACCTGAAAAAAGTCAAATAAAGTGCCAAGTTGTCCTCAATGAATAGATCCTGATAATCAGTGATTGCCCACTGCAGGATTTCCCATCTGTTCTCCAATGGACTGACTCCCAAAGCCACTGTCCTCTTTAGAATCTGGAAGAAGGAAAAGCGTGTTGTATTCACAATTTACTGACCAAAGGTTATGTGTTAGTCTCTCAGAGGTGACCCCGTTTCTCTATCAAAGTGCGAAACATACCCGAGCTCTGTTTGTCCTCTCTGGGTTGGCTGGCTGTCAGAAGTCTCACTCCTTTACTCACACCCATAGACTGCAGCGCCTCCACCAGGCCGTCCACAGGACCACCACTCAACTGAACACACATAAACACACTTATCAACCACTAATACTATAATAATACTATGTGATGCCAACAAATGCATCTAGTCAAAAAATACAATCTACAAGAAAATGTTTTAAAGGCTTGAGAAATCTATACCAATTACATGAATAATGACGAGTCGTGAAGTAAGTTACAAACTGATGGCCTAAAACACGAAAAAAGCGGTTTGTGTGAGAAAACGAACAGTATTTATATATCACGCACTGTTTACACGGAGATTTCGGGAGTTTTGCCTTTCACTAAACATATTTAGATGTACGGGAAATCGCAATGGAAGACGATATCGATATATGTAAATATGTTTAGTAAAAGGTACTCCCGAAATCTCCGTGCGTGTAAACATTGCGTGACATAGACGCGCGAGAGATCACTTCCGGCGCAACGTAACAACGTTGACGGTTCAGTTCGTTTCAGTAACGTTAGGACTTCTGATCAGATCAGTTCGACGGCTGTTAACAAGAGGTAAAAACTATATAAATACTGTTCGTTTTCTCACACAAACCGCTCGTTTCGTGGCCATCTATGTGTACTTACATTCACGAGTCATTAAATCATTTTTAATTTTGACTTCTCTGTGCATGCTCGTGATGACTGACAACAACGGCGGTTTGACCAAAAAATGTCAAAATTGAAAATACTGTGGAAACAAAGATACCTAAATCTTGGATGCCCTTGAGGTAAGCTAAAACATATCAAAAATTAATTTCAAAGTGAACTATCCCTTCAAGTATAGAGGGAATGCGCGTGACTTCACCGTCGGCCGGTCCCGGAGTGCCTGCAGTTCCTCACAGTGAGTGGCAAAAAGACTGAGCGGCTGTATGTGTTCAGCGTGAATGCCGCGAAAAACAAACACAACACAGACAAATAAAGTGGGAAAGAGCTTTGCGATTGACTGTAGGCCTACAACTAGATTTGACAAAACATCGGAGGTATATTTGTACAGACTGCTATGGAAAGAGGAGCAAATGGATCGCTGCAATTCACAGAAACAACTTGACTCCAGTCGGCGAAAGGTGGATTTGCAGTTATCATTTTGTGTCAATATGCTGAATTTAGCTGGAAAACCATACCCATATATTTTGTATTGTTATATAAATTATCAGCTCATCAATTAAATATTTATCATTGCATATTCTGCTTTATTGGATGTTTTTTTAATAAAAAAAGTTTTTTTTATTAAAAAAAGTTTATATAACACTGATATAAGTGATCACCCGGATTTAGACCTACCTATATTATATAAAGCGTTCACAGGCAAATTTGCTTTACGTTTAGGTTTTGGTTTATTTCCCCTGTGTCGAAATCAGGCAAACATAAATGTCAGGCAACACGATTCCCGGCTGCATGTCAATATCCATGGATCGCTGGATCTTTAGTAAGTTGTAAGGAACACTATATTGAGTCCAACATTTAGTTTAAATTGATAAAATTGTTCGATTGAGTCGCATTTCCGCAGTTTTCCCCTATTAAATCCAGTCACGCAGCAGATTTTTGCCACTCGGTCAGGCTGAGGGTGGTTGTCACGCGGGAAAGTCACGTGTCAAATGCATTCCCTCTATTAATTAATTTGCTCCACATTCCTCATGCAACTAGTATTGAATTCTTATAGCTGCTAACTCTAGTAACATTTTTTATTATTATTAAAACATTTTGCTGTTAAATCAGATTCAGATTATTTTATTTCATGCCATGTCAGCAGTCAGAGCTATTTTCATGGCAAAAATTAATTTACAAAAATACAAACATCATATAAATACAACAAAAACAAAACAAATATATATATATATATATATTTTAAATTAACATATGATAAAAAAAAATCCAGAATCTTTTCAGGCATAATCTGATTAAATATGTCCTTCAAAAAAGTAACTTCATAAAAGAGCCTTCTGCTTGCGTTAAGTCCAGGACAATCTAATAAAAAATGTTTGACAGATAAAGGAATTTTACAAAACATACATAAAGTTGGATCTTCACCTTTAAGCAAAAACATGGGTCAAACTTGTATGACCCATATGGCTTGCTGTTAAATAATGATTTAACAAACAGGGTCATAAATATCGGATATTACTTCCGTTTATTAGTTACACTTTAAATGGAAGCTCAGGTCAAGTGCAATGCATTGACATGACAAAGTGCAAGACCATACCTTACACATTTTTGCAAATACAATAGTCCTCACAGAAAATGTGCATTACATGCCAAAAAAGTCATCGGTACGCTAGTATGTGGTTCCAAACATAACCAACGTCTATTTAATAATATAAAGGCAGTTGGCAAACCAAGAGAACAATGACAGTCTCTTACCTGATAGTTCTCGAGAAGCTTCTTGCAGGGCGAGGCACTCTCCTGGAACAGGTGAGTGAGTGTGAGCATGCCCAGTTTTTCCGCCAGCTCTCTCCAGGGCACATGGTCTTCAATAAGAATACCACACAGTTTCATAAGCACCTCGCTTTCTAAACCCTGGTTCACTGCAGGAAGAGGAATACTGATCAGTCACACATGCTAGAAGTGAAGTATTAGTTTTTGAGAACATTAAGCACATAAAGCCTCATTACCTTCGTCAGTGCTTATTTTGGTCCTCTTGGGGGCGAGTGAACTAGACTTGGGGCCTTTCCTTCCATCTAATAGATCTCTAACCTGTAGAAGAATGATGTTTCAAACTAGGTTAGATCTATTACATGAATGTATTCGTCCACCTCCAAACGCTCACACACTGTATGCAATTGTGATGGATACAAAAACTCAAACCTTTTGACATTTAGCCAGGTCAAATGGCGTGTGTCCCGCAGCAGGTCTCTTGCGTGGGTTAAATGCTCCCCTCTCTGATGATATCGACATGAATCGAACTTGCTGAACCATGTCATCTGGAAGCTGATTATTGGAATCATTCTTCTCACTCTCGTCATCTTCATCAGAGGAAGATAAACTCAGGAAAAGAGGCTCATCGTTCTCCATACGTTTATCAGCACCTAAAACAAAAGACAAGGGAGATGGATTCATAAAACAAACCTTTCATATCACTGAACCAAAACTTGACTTATTCCCTAGTCATTGGCTCTGAATATGAGGATCTTGATTTCAATTGGTTATTCAGTTCATATGTCTTTAATTATGAGCGATTCCTATGAATGGAACATCAGGAAATGTGGAAAACTGTCAAATAACCTTACCTAAATCACATCCTAATAGTAAAAGTTCATCTTTGCTCTAATAATAAAACAACATGAGCATGTTCTCAATGACTATCCATTGTGTTTTTACCCTTTTTAGGTTTTGAAGTACCTGATATCTCTATTACATCTGTAAGAAAGGAGTTTTCTCAGATACCTGCAGCTATCAGCATGGAGCAGAGAGGTGGTGAGCCTTGACTGGCAGCAAAGTGAAGAGGACTGTTGCCCCCGTAGGTACATATATTCACATCAGCCTTTAGCTGTAACAAATGAAAAACATAAAGTTATCACTTTTAAAGACAAAACATTTTTGCTGGCTCTATGCTGAAGTGTGCTAAATAGGGTGAAACGGTTCCAGTATCTCTGGTTTTTGTGATGCTGAAATAGCTATTTTTAAGAAAGTTATACTTTTATTCAAAAAAGGGTGCACAACTGTTTTAATAATAAGAAATGTTTCTTGATCGACATATTAGAACAATTTCAGAAGGATCGTGTGACACTGAAGACTGAAATAATGGTACAGTTTAATAAACATTTAAAAAAATATATTATATTATATATTAAAACAGAGAAAAATCATTTTATACTGTAATAATCGGCCTCAAAATTTCCTACTTGTTGAACCCCTAAGGCTAACCGAAACTCCGAAATCCTTTACCTCAGTAATAAGATTACAGGCCAGTTTTAACAGGTTCTCCCTCACTGCCAGATGTAGAGGTGTACAGCCACTTTTCTGCTCTGGCATGTTAATCATTGCTCCTTTCTCCACTAACAATTGAAGGCAGCGCTCTCCATCTTTCTTTACAGCGAGATGGACTGGATATTGACCTAAAAAGCGGGAAAGGTCAAAAAATATATCAGTATGTGCTATAATATTCCACATACAAACTTCAGCACCATTTAAATGAAGACTGAGAGACAATGACATGTGTAACGCTCACCTGAGAAGTCAGCAGAGTTTATTAAATCGACATGGCGCTCTCCCAGCAGGCTCAGGACCACTCGTAGTACAGCCTCATCGCCGGTGTGGGCGGCCAAGTGAAGCGCTGTCCTGCCCTCTCGGTCCAGCAGGCTCGGGTCTGCCCCCGTTCTCATCAGCATCTCCACTAACTTGGGCTGCTTTGTGATCACGGCCAGATGCAATGGAGCCTGGAGAAGGTAAGAAAGATGAACGTTAGCATGTCACATTAAAATAAAGTTATAAGATAAATAGAAAATGAAAAAGATTAAAAAAAGAGCACTTTTCACAGCATACAGATAGATGCTGAATTACCTGACTGAGGTGGTTGAGTTTGTTGATGAACTTCTGCTGTGGGGTGTTGTTCAGGGCCTGAATAAGCTGTTGGACGACAGCGGGTTGCTGATGGATAATGGCCAAGTGCAGAGGCCTATGGGAAAAACACGACACAGATTAATACAAAGCCTGATTGTGTTGCACTTAATCCCGCTCTTCATTCAATGTATCGTTTTAATGCATTTAAAAATAATGTGGAAAAATTAAGTGAAATTGCTAGTATAGTAACTTTGATTTTTTTTTTAAGTGATTAAATTAAGTCTCTCAAAATTTTTACAGATAAAAGATTTTTAAAGCAACTTAAAATACACTTAACTATACTAGAAAGGTTTAAAGGTAGCAGACACATAACCTGGAATTAAGTATACTTGACATGCGTTAAGACATTGATACAATAGACCGGATACAAGCTGAAAGGTAGAGATGTGAAAGACATACGTGTCTCCGTTCTCATCTTGCACTCCACACAGATGTCTCTGCAAAACCAGCAGGGGACGCACATCCCCTGTACTGCAGTACTGCAACAAAGCACGAGCAGTGCACTTGGCTGTCAAAGTGGCGCGATTCTGCAGAGCTGCGGCTGGAAACAATACAGGAAGGAAACATGCATCACTAAATGCATATTATGCACCTAAAATCTCAATGCCTTGAGTTTAATGATACCTGAAAGATAACTATGCTCACCAATCTGAATGAGCTGCTGTTGCACTGGAGAACCAGACTGAGTTTGTTTGTTAGTTGGTTGATTCTGAGATCCATCAGACTGTGGGGTAGAGCCTGACATCTGTGGACCTCCAGCAAATCCACCACCACCACCAAAAAACCCTGAACCATCCATTGTATGATTAAATTGAAATCCTAAGGACATAATTGACACGAAGATACATATATGAAGACTTCTGTTGACACACCACCAAAATGTACCACCATGTACATGTGTAGCCTCAGAGATCAGGGATTTTAAATGTTTCACCTCCTCCCATTCCTCCTCCACCTGTTCCAGATCCAGGACCTCCAAAGGCCCCTGCTCCTCCTTGAGGTCCTCCCCGCCAGTGATCATAAGGCTGAGGAAGTGCCTTCATCCTCTTCCTCTGAACCTCTTCTTTGTCTAGGAGGGAACAGAAGCCAACATGTTACAAAATATGAGAAAGAGAAATAGTGAAGAGGATGTTTAATAGATCTAAACTACTGTTCTAAATATATATATATATATAAATAAAACATTTTTAAAAAATTGTAAAAAAAAAAATGATTTTTTTAATATATTATAAAATGTAATTTTATAGGTTCTTCATTATATATATATATATATATATATATATATATATATATTAGTGAAAGAAACTAATAATAATAATGAAGAACCTATAAAATTATATTTTATAATATATTAAAAACAGAAAAAAAATATTTTAAAACAACATTTCACAAATATTACCAGGTGAGCATAAAAGACTTCTTTCAAAAACCTAGACAACAAACTTTAAACTATAAACTGTCCCCACATATATATATATATATATATATATATACTTTGCTATTTTACCTACTGCATTAAAGGTAATATTCTAAAAAGCATAATAGGGCCACTTTAAGACTATTACATTTTTAGGACCAACAGATTGCAAAATCAGAGCCAAAAAGCGGACGATCTGACGGTTTTAGAAGATTAACCATCCGAAACTGAAAAAGAGACGGCCTCTATTTGAGACCGGCTTTTATTTACCCAAACCTGCAGCCACACCAGACGTGTCTATTTGGGACTCGGCTGAAGTTTGACGGGTATAAACATATTCACTGCTAAAGGTGAAGGGGAGTAGCTTGAAGATGTCATATTTAATAATCACATCAACCAACATTCCTCTGGAGTCAAAATGTCCTCTTTTTAGGACTTGGCTCGGCTACGGCTATGGCTCCAAGTAGGCTTTTAAGTACTTTTAAAAACAAGTACTTCTGTACTTTTACTTAAGTAAAATGGGCCTTTACAACTTTTATTTGTAATGGAGTACTATTTGACAAGTAGTCTCTGTACTTTCAAAGGCACTTTATTTCGACATTGTCTTATAATTCAAATGTAATTGTATAAATTACTATTATGCAAACCAAAGGACAGGCAATGATTTTCAGGCTACAGATGGAAAAAATAATGCCTTTGTTGCAAAGATAGCCTATTTATGATAATAATATTTAATTAAAAATATCTAAATAATATCATGCGTTATATAAAACATAACATTATTTAGATATTATAGTTTTTGATACTCTCTATACCTACGTAACAATGTAACACATTTGCATAATGCCAGCCTATGGTCTTCATTGGCTGCTCGCAAACGAGGTCTACTTTGACTGACCCTCAACCAATTTAGCTGAGGAATGGAGGAGTTTGGTTTGGTTTCCGAAACGCGCTGGAAGCGGTAGCCCAATCGAAACAGACTATGCCTTCTGACCAGTCAGAGCAGAGTAGGCTCCCAGAAAGGAGAAGGAACCTTTAAACTAGCACAATAGGGGCACCAGTTGTTTTGCACAGCACTGCTAACCTTGATTGTGTGGAATATATGTGAACTGCTTGGGTTCGCTGCAGTCGCCTCCCTTCTTTCTCTTGAGCTGCAGGAACACGGTGACAGGCCGTGTGATATCTGTGCAGCGGTACGGTGGTGTCTTAAACACGATGGCATACTGATGGGAATAAAAACAGTGTCAGTGAAGATTTGTTGTAAAAGGCTTAACCACATCCAACGGTAAAATCCAGAAAATTACAGCGTTTTTATGTCAATATATCACACACCTGCTTGTGGACGTCAGTGGGGGAGAAGTCTCCAAATGCCTCCCATCCGGCATCATCTTCCTCCTCATAAAAACGAATGTCAATATCATCTGGAAACAAATTAGCATAAACATCAGTCGATCTAAAAAGTTTGTGTATGATTGTAAATCCTTTTTGAAATCAGAAAATCATAATAACCTTTTTGAACTTTATCACAGAGCAGAAAGACCTCTTCTCCTCCCAGCACTGATCCAGAGGTTTTATCCATTCTGGAGATCTTCAGATTTGAAGCATTTGGTGATTCTGGTTAAAGAGCAGCACATTTTAGCTATGGTAAGATTACCAATACTTTCCTCCCTAATTCACACTCCTGTTCAAAAGCTTGGGGTCGGTAAGAGTTTTAGAAAGAAGTCTCTTCTCATCAAGGCTGCATTTCTTTGAATACAGTAAAATACAGTGAAAGCACTAATATTGTGAAATATTAATACAATTTAAAATAACCGTTTATATTCAATATTATGTTATTTATTCCTGTGATGGCAAAGCTGATTAATTACTCCAGTTTTCAGTATCACATGATCCTTCAGAAATCATTCTAATATAATTTATGTGGAATAGAAATCTTTTTTTATGCCTTCACTGTCACTTTTGATCAATGTTATGCATCCTTGGTGATTTCTTTTTTTTTATCGTTCAGACCCCAAATTTTCTAACAATAATGTAAATTGAAATGATCAATAACTAATTACAGACTAAACACAATATTCTTAAAGCAATGTTGATTATAATACTATTAATATTTATATACCACTGTCAAAAAATGTATACCAAAAAAGTGACCAAGTGAAAAGTCAGAAAATTCTACAATGGCATAATCGTTTTGAAATAAATCTAAATAAATATAAAATTAAAGAAATAAAAATCAAAATCTGCAGTTTCTTTTTCTTTAGACTCTTAGTGTCTATATCTTTTTCTTTGTGTTTTTTTTTTTTTTATGTGGCAACTTTGAGGTCAGTGTGTGGCAGATGTCTTTTGTTAACTGAATTTCATTAATTATCTTATTTTTTATGGCAGGACTTACTGCTATCATAGATGGGATTTGAAACAGCAGACGTCAAGGCTCTTGTGAAACTCCCATTGCTGTCCTGAAGGTAAGCAGTGAACTTTAATCTTACAATGTTTAGGTCCATGTTTTTGCCCAATTCTTTGGCTTCTTGCACAATAGCCTGTTCCTCTGCATCTGAATGAGTGATATAGAGAGAGAAAACACGTCAAATGAGGATGCAAACAGAAAATTCAATAAGCAGTCAGTCAACATCAAGTAGTCTTACCACTAAATTTATATCCAGGCTCTTTCGTCCTTCTCTTCTCTTCTCTCAGCCTTTTCGTTAAAACTTCAATCACTCCTCTCTTAGTAACATGGAGGATGCCTAAATTACTGAATCTAGAAATAGAGGATGTGATAATGAATAAAGATTGCACAACTGCACATAAAAAACAATCAAAAGCCACAAGCGTCAAATGATGATGCTATATACAGTACATACAATGCCTTTCGCAATTTTTCCAGTCATAATAACAAGGAAAGAGATCACATGAGCATGATGAACAGTAATCGTGTTCACTCACTGTGCTGTGAGATCATTAGGCCCGACATCAATGGAGCATATCCCGTTGTCATTACATTGGCGACCCACAAGACTGTGTGCATGAACGCGAGGGGGGTCTGTGTGCGTCACTAGCTGAACCTCCACGCGAGCATGACCCACGTAGTTTGACACCTGGTGTGGGAGAATGCCTTTATGAATGTACCTTATTTAAATACATTGCAGATACATATCCATGTTACAAAGCCCACCTTTACTGTGGGATATGTCCTTCTGTTCCTCTCACTGGAGGCCCCTGGCAGACCACCGTGGGATGGGCCCTCACATTCATAACGAAATCTGAATCCCCTCTGTAACACACACATAGCGTTATTTACATAACACCAGACCTTACTCACTGATAAAACCCTGTTTTTGGGGAATTCCAGCCCATACTTTCTGGAATTATCCCACATAGTCTGTAAATTCTTTGTAACACATGTTCACCAAATGGCTAAAATACACCATTTTATAATTTATAATATTGGAAAATTGTCAAACAGAGTGGAAGATGAAACAAAAAGTGTATGAAGATGTAAGTGAACGTACCTGCTTTGGCTCCTCAATTATCTGTAGATAAGGCCCATGAACTGAAATTAGGATCAAATTACAATAAATTAGCCTTCTTTTCATTTAAATCAAAAGAACACCACACAACAAAAACACATCATAAAATACATTCATAAAGCAGGACAATTGGAAGAATTAACTTACCTGTTTCTGTCACAAATGGTTCAGGCTTCACCTCAAACGGTTCATGCAGATATGGAAGGTCCACCATGAACTGTAAAGACTGAAGATGCCATGTACAAACGTGCAAGTGTTAGTATTGTTATATAAAATATAAATGTATGTGTATTAAACCAAAACCTTTAGCACAAAGCAGAATTAGTTTTATGTTATAATAACTGTCTAAATAGTTTTAAAAAAACAAAAAATGTAGGCATCACAACATTTTGGATAATACATTTTGAGATTTTTTATAGATTACATTTAACAGCGTTATTAATTTATTAATGTTTTTAAAGATTAGCTTTAAGTTAGGGTTTGATAATGTTGACAACAATCTAAATAAGAAAAATGAGCATTTATTAAAAAAAATCTCCAATATTGACAGATAACTGATAGGGTATGCATATTGTGCATCCCAAATGAAAATATCTATAGATCACAACACTAAACTACAAATCTGTAGCAGACTACAGCAGCAATTTTGACAATATGTGTCTCACCTCATTGTCAAACTTCATTTGATACTGTGTATCATCCATCCTGTAATGTAGAAGAAACAGAGAGAAATCTTATAGAGACCGTCTCACACAGACACAAAGCCAGAACTAAAAAAACCCCATGAGGTGAGGTGCTCTAAAACAGTTAGCATGCTGAATCAAAACATCAACTGAGCTGCAAACCCCTGCAGATGCATTTCATTTCCACAGTTTTTCCCCACAGCAGTGTTCTGACCTTCACACAAGGCTGCGTACACTTTCAAACCTACCCGATAAACAAAACGTAAAGAAAGAAGCTCTCTGTTTAAAACAAAAGACACACAAAGTCCCTTTCACTTTCGGTGCAACAACAAGGATGTGTGTGCACTGGATGTTTTTTTTCTTTTTTTAATGCCTCCCTCCTTCTGTCTGGCTCACTTGCGTTACTTCCAGGAAGTAAGGCAGTGAAAAAAAAAAAAAAAAAAAAAACAGAGGAAAGCCCCCAGAATACCAGCTCACTGCTGCCGCTGATGTCAAATCCAGAGCAATGCAGGTACAAACATTCACACCCTGATATCAAGTAGACTTCTCATATCTAAATTTCCTCAACTTTCCAAAGGCTTTTTCAAATTCCCTTCTCTTCCTCTGGGGTACTTTTGAAACAATATTTCCAATAATCCTTCCTTTTTGTTCATATTTAGTCTCAATTTAGTAAAAAAATACAAAAAAATTCCATGTATGTGTAATTCACAAAAAAATGTACATATTTCTGACTAAAACAATCTGTGTAGATGGATTAGTCAGATATCTCCACAGTGCCGTCAATGCAGTTACCATGAGAAAAGCCCTGAAAGATGGGGATTGCCCCCACAAATCTTTAAACCCACAAACACTTCCACTGTTAACCAAACAGGAAATTATGATGATGATTTCTAAAGAATCAATTTAGTTAAATAATTTATGAAGAAATTATGTTCCATTTCATTTTTTAGTGTTAATATTGCTAGCTACACAGGGTGACACGATTGCACAAGTGTTTACTTTAACTGCCACTGACAGGAATGAGGAAGCGTCGTCTACTGCACAGGATGAGGTGTACTAAGATTGCTCTATAGTACATGTTCTTCACCTAAACCAATGGGACAACTAGTAGAGTAAACTGAGTTTTCTATCTGAGTTGTCAGGGCTCATTCTGAGTGAATAAAAATCCTGACGTCACTGAAAAGAGAGTAACAGTCTTCTGGATCACAACCACATCCTGTCCTTCTTCTGTGAAATGACAGCACTTCACTTCAGTCAAACAACTTCTAATCTTAAGATTGTGGTCAAATATAGACAAGAAGATTCATTAAGCAAGGCATCAATCTAAAACAGTGGATGCAAACTAAGCCTGCCAGGGGGCCTCAGTAAACCCCCAGAGGGGGGAAATGACTAAATTATTAAAGAGTTACATTAACAGAATCCAACTCCAAACCAATGCTAAAAACAACAATGAACCAAAACGTAAAACATGTAAAATTACATTATGTTAATCTATCAGCTGTTGTTGATAACATACACAGTCATACACAGCTCTTGAAACTTTTGGAATCACAGAATTAATTTTTGGTCGATTATTTAATTTTATGCAATTATTTAGCTTCTGATAATAAAAAAAGGTTAAAAGCAAGCAGCTAAGCATCACAATGTTCTTAAATTGGGTTTGTTTCACGTAAAAATGAAAACCTGTCATTAATTACTCACCCTCACTTCGTTCCAAACCCGTAAGACCTTTTTTCATCTTCAGAACAGAAATTAAGATATTTTTTATGAAATCTGAGAGGTTTCTGAACCAGTCACAGCCAACAAAGTCATTGCAAATTTCAGGCCCAGAAAGATAGTAAAGACATTATTAAAATAGTCCTACAGTAGTTCAACCTTAAATGTTATGAAGCGACGAGAATACTTTTTGTGCACAATCTTTTTTTCTTTTTTTTTAATAACGACTATAATTCAACAATATCTTTCCAAGTCCTTCTCCTACTCTTCACATAATGTAAACAGCATTCCAGGTTCTAAGTCAAAACACTGACTCATTATTGGCTAGTTCCTGCATCAGCATCACACACGTGCCGTGGTGCCCACGTGAACAGTGTCAGCCAATAATGATCCAGCGTTCTGATGTAGAACCTGGAATCGCTTCACTGTTTTTACACTATAATCCTATTCAGATGGCACTAGTTTAACATGGAGAGGTGAGGTAAAGTAATATTTACCAGAGCAGATGTTAGTCCCATCCGAATGTGCTATCTTAGTAATCATTAGGGATACGGCGACTTTCACATGCAGTAAAAAGGTCAAAATTATCACAGGTAATACTAATCCTGTGCGAATAGACCCGCTGTTAATATGATACTTGATAAAGCATTCAGTTGTGTTCTAGGCGGTGGGACGTCAAGTCTGTGAGAAAACTTGAGTGTTTTTTTCCCACATACCATTCAGACCATGCCTAAGGAGGTTGAAAGCACTTTTTAGAGGCACAAAACTTATTTTAGTGATGGACAAGTACGTGCCTAATACCATCATAATACAATCTGAATTTATTTAATACATCCAACTGGACCAAACTGTTTATAGGCCTATACAAATATTGGTTATATGTGTTTGCGCACAACATGATATCAGGAAGCAATACGCACATGACGACAGGGAGGATCTTATCCCGTCTGAATTGGCCATTATTATTACAGAGGTGCTGTGGTAAAATTACATTACCCCACCTCTCCATGTTAAACTATTCCCGTCCGAATAGGGTTTATGTTAGTGTTACTACCTTTCTGGGCCTTGAAATTTGCAATGACATTGCTGCCTATGGCTGGTTCAGAAACCTAAGATTTCATCAAAAACATCTTAATTTATGTTCTGAAGATGAACGAATGTAGAATATCAATTTATTTTATGTGGTACCATGGAAATAAAGGTGACTTGACTAGAAAAATCACAATAAACCTGGTTTTTTTAATTGTTTCAGGGCTTCCATGTGCATGAAGTTGAAAGGCAAATCATTGAATCATGTTTGTAAACCCTCTACGTACAGGTTTTGTACAGGTACAAGTTTTTGTTTCTATATGAAGAGTTCAGATGCAAAAGCCTCTAAATGCCATTTGAAATTTTCTTCTAAAATGGTCATTTTTATCAAGCTTATATACTTAAGTTCAGTAATTTCCCTAATGGTCATTTTTATCAAGCTTATATATTCAAGTTCAGTAAAATTACTGAACTTAAATATATAAGCTTGATAAAAATGACCATTTTAGAAGAAAATTTCAAATGGCATTTAGAGGCTTTTGCATCTGAACTCTTCATATGCAAATCTGACTATTTACCAGTCTACATGCTCTATGTAATCATGTCCAAAACTTTAGGATTAAATTTACATTCGTGAACATCTTAAGCATAACCAATGAGCTGTCAGTCAACATTTCTGGGCATCTATAACCTGCACGTGCCAGTGATGCACAATAAAACGCTGCACAGGAGAGATAGAAATACGTTACTGTAATAAATCTGTAACGTACCTCAGTGCTCCAGCCATTCTGTTAGCAGGGTCATCCGATTCCGAAGAGACTCTGAACTCCCGACAGACTGAAAATGATGGAAATGATAAGCGCTTACGGGGATGTGATTCCCCTGCACATGTAAGTCAGATCCAAAAAGTACATCTGACTTTTGAAGGGAATTTCCCATAGACTCGAGCAAACAACAGCAAAACACCCGAGACAAAAGTTGGTCATAGTATCAATAACTGAACACTGATGAAATGTTTAAAAACATTTTCACGGTTTTCTAACTAATTAGCGATTTGCACGGACTGCACGCTATATGAACTGTACACCATCTCTGTAATGTAACGTAATGTTTTCAAAACAAACTTAAAATAGATTTCTCCATGTACTAAGCAACCGAGTCCTTCTTTCCAAATAAGAAAGCAGACTATTATTATCTACTATTTATAGGCCTAACGTTACATGCCTTGTTACAAAATTGTTCGGTCATAATAATAATTTCGCTAACGTTATACATGATAATGTTTAAGTTACAGTTACAGTATGTACTTCAGCACATATTAGACTTAACTTACCTTGTTTAACTGTGATGTTAGCTAATTCTCGTGTAGTTTTTATTCGACGTCAATTTAAACCACTGCAAAAATCATAGCAAACGCCTGAAAAAAACATAAACAAACTGGACCATCCATCCAATTAATCTGTTCCAGTAGTGGACACTCCATGCGAACGTACGCTTGCATGAGTCGAATGCTACTGGCCTGGAAAGCCCCGATAAAAGGGGAATTCCGCAATCACGTGGCGTATGTTAGGAGTGTTTTGATTGGTTCTTAGATGGAACATGATTAGCATGTTCTCCAAAACTTCCGCTCGAATATCAGATATTCATTCTGTTAATAGGCCTATACTGTCCAATATGATTAAAATATGATAACAGTAATGTAAATAAAGTTTTTTTTTTGTACATTAAATATACAGAATATAGCATTAGAAAACCACAACACACAATTCTTTTTAGCCTGAAGATTTTAATAATTTTTTATTTTTATTAGGTTTTAATTTTTTTGGATAGGTGGCATTAAACTTATTAAACTTGGCTGTCCTTGTGAGTGTAGGATATAAATAGGGGTCCTAGGATTTGGAACATTGTGGAAGTTAGTCTTATCTTTTTACCCTTATTTCATTCATTGTAACTTTTGATCTCTTTTAACTCAAATGTAGTGATGTAGTTTATTTGGAGTTGTCTATAGCTAGAGTCCATGGTTAGCTTAAACAATAAAAACAATAAAAAATAAAATACTCATGTGTTTTGAAAATTAGGCACGAGACAGAACATTAAGATTAATCATTTAATCATTGTCCATGTAAATACATAGCATCATGTGAAAAATACATGAAAAATACTATTCGTCATGCCTCTGGTGAGCTGAAGTCTAATAATAAAAAGTTCTGGATGATGGGAATGCTGTTATCATCACACTGAAAATGGCTTCGCACAGTCAGGAGAAATGTGTTCTTCATAGGGGTCAACATAGAACTAATCCTCTCAGCTATTACCTGGATGAACCTCACCTCTGATGCTGGGGCTTGGGACAACAACAAAAAAAAAAGAGAGAGAGAATGACTTTTAAATTAACAATAATAAAACAATATATCAAATTTTTATTATCAAGAGAACAAATAAACAGAAACAAGAGTGAAGAGGGAAAAGGGGAAGTACCTCACCTATGGTCTTATGTAGCCTATCAGGAGGAGTGTTCAGAAGGATCTTCTGCACTATAGCAGGAGGGACTTGCACACAGATTTGATCATCTCCGTCTCTCACAGTTAAAACTACTGGCCTAGAAAGACAAGTCAGGATGCTTTAAGAATAGTACGTCTAGATAACTAGGTATAATTTAATTTATGAATTTGTATTATTTTATAAATATATACACCACCATACAGTATATATGTGTGTGTGTGTGATTGTGTAATATAGGTCTGAAAGAACAGACCTATAGTAGTGACGCACTCCTGTGTGTGGTAGACAAGGGTAGCAGGGTCTATATATGCCGTTCTCATCAGTTTCCAGTTCTGCAGAACACTGCCCACATCCAGCAAAAGTGATGTCACCAGAGACTACGTCCAAGATCCTCTCCATGGGCGTATTGGCATCTATTAACAGCGAGGCATCCTGAGATGGACTGCTCTGGAACTGGAACGCTGTGATTTTAATTTTCAGCTCTACATCACCTAATGAGTACGTTAACAAGAGAGACCTAATGTAACCACGATGAATTATACTAATAACAAATGCATTGTTAGCATCAGCAAAAAGTCCTACCGGAGTATTTCTGGGACAGTAGTGTGTTGAGATCTATCTCAAAGCTGCTAGCGGTCCTCTGTGAGTGGACCGTGTTGTAAAACTCCTTACATCGACTGTCATCAGGAAAGAGAGGCTGACAGGTGCCCCATGGAGTAGAATGCAGCTCGAGCAAACCTGAGGTCACATCCTGTCTGACTAGCAGCATCCTGAACTCCCACACTGCATCTGTGAGGGGCATTAGCAATACAAATGATGCACAATAAAAAAATAATCACATTTCAGCTTTACCTTTAAGGCCCCTGCTGTCCAACACAATATCTGAACAATTGAAATAAACACACATTTGTTTCTGTCCAAACGCTGCAGCCAAGAGAGTGCAGCTCCCCAAAGTACGACAGCCCCTTGGTGGCCATCTCCTTGCTCCACAGTCAAAATGGCTTTCAATACACCTCCTGTTCTGGATATCCCCTCCACCTCATCACGCCAGGCTAAAATCAAGCAAAAAAGCATTCCGTCACAAAGATCCTTTGAGATTTGACAGTTTAGTATGTGAAGTGAATGTGAAGTACAGTGCAAGATACATATAAATCAATGTATTAAACGTGTATCTGGAATACTCAATTCTGACTGTAACGTAGGACTGTACAACTTGGGAAAAAATTACAATTTATAAAAATTGCGATTTGAAATGTGAGTTTAAAAAAAAATAAAAGTTCCAGTTTGCTTTGTTTGTTTGTAGGGCCATAAAAATGTTTAACAAAAAAGGAAATATTAATTATACCAAAAAAGCTAGAATAATAAAACCATTAATATCAATAATATATTATTATTGACAACAACAATAAATTATTTTACAGAGATATCTTTTTGACAAAAATAATAATTTTATGTCACAAATATGTTTTCTAGTTGCCTTTGAGATTTGACTGGTAAGTATATGAAGTGAATGTTGTACAAGGCACATATAAATAAATTAAATTTCACTGGAATACTTCATTCTAATTGGTCAATCATGTCATCCAGTGATCTACGTAATATTTTCACCTGGAAAATTGAAAAAGGCTCTACTTTCATGTTTCTTGTACATGTGCTATATAATCTGAACCTCTAGACAGCAATTCAGTTCCATACCTGTAATTAACTTCCTGTGTTTAACCCTAAGCAAAGCATGAACCAATGTGTCAGGACGTAACGCTCCAAGACGGATGAAGGGGATGGAGTCCAAATCCTGAGGTTTGTGAGGAGGCAGAGACAGCAGCAGGGGACGCTTCTCACACAGATGAGTACACAGCATTCTCAATGTATTATAGTTCAAATTCTGTGGGTCTAGACAAGATCAGCATTACAAAGGCAGGGGGCAATCATTACAGGCAATTGCATGTATATACATTTCAATATGACTTCTATACCTTTAACTTTCAATCTGGCAAAATACTTAAGTCTCAGTAGCAATTACGTTTCTATTACCAGGTGGAATACGTTCCCCCGTGACCTGTCCCAGATTCAGCAGCTTACTGGTGAAGGAGGACTGCAGGACAGTCTCAGTCTTCCACTTGTCTATGTGCACTTTCACATCTGCCGAATCAAAGACAGAAACACTACTGTGGGCATTTCGTTACACTGTGCATCTCAGGACATGTTTTGCAACCACACATCCTTTCAGACCAGGTACAATTAAGATATGTCATATATTGTTTGAATGAGCTGAGTTAAAACACCGTTTGTTGGGTTAGGCTGACATGACATGACCACAGATGAATGTCCTGATTTTCTTGTTTTCTCGCCTTAGTAGTCAATTTCCTGTTCAGACCTATTTTCTTGCCAAAGATTCCTTCAAATGTATCCTACAAATAGACTAATTCAGTATTTTCATTTATGAAGTAACATATCGGATGATAAAACCTTAAAATCATGCTTTTAAATAGATGTTGTCTAAAATAACTCTGGATTCCAGATAATATTTTATGCACTATATGCACAATTTAACATAATTCTGTGATGGCAAAGCTGAATTTTCAGCATCATTACAGTCTTCAGTGTCACATGATCCTTCAGAAATCATGCGGATATGCTGCTCAAGAAGCATTTCTTATTTATTATCAATGTTAAAAAAGAGAGCTGCCTCATTTGTTGTGGGAACCGTGATGCTTTTTTGATGAATCAAGTTAAAAAGCTTTTTGTAACATTAGTGTGAAATATTATATCACAGGAATGTCAAATCATAACTTGGATAATAAACATGAATTCTGAATTATTCTTCAAGATTCTTATTTAGAGATGCTCTATATTTAACATCATCAAAATTTGTGAATTAACATAAATTCCTGACTTTTCTGAATATGTGGCACTTTTAAGACTGATATTTGCCAGACACAAAATAAAAAGTGTTTGTTTATAGATCTAATGAGGAATTCTCAATGGTTTCACCTGTAATTAGCAGAATATCTCCTGGATATACAGTCAGAGCCCAGAAAGCAGATGTCCGCCATAGAACCACCTTCATCTCCACATCCGATTGGTCGGTGACGATCAGCGTTGCTAGAGGTACACTGGAACCAGCCGAAACTCCAGTTTTCACTTTGACCTCTTTTAAGTGGCATGGGTGCACCACAGCAACTAAGATGGCGTATCGTACACCATGGGTCTTACACCTGGCCAGCAGGGTTGTAGGACCACAGAGAGGGCTGGCAGATCTTACCCTCTGCTCTGTTGTTTCTTTAGTTTTACTTCTAGTCTGAGACAACTTCATCTTTTTAGAAGTAGTGGGACTGGGTGAAGTATGTGCAGCTGTAGTCGCTGAGTCAACATTCAGCCCGACTTCTTCATGATCTGCAGGTTTTTCAGCGACAGCATTGCCTTGAGAGCAGAGGATGCCATCAGATGTGATTTCCAGAATCACCCCCCTCTCCTGCTGTCTTTGGCTTAGACTGTCATTATGCCACTCTCCTGAGCTTTGCAAGGTTCCTCCCAAGCCCCTCTCTTCAGGGCTGACCATAGGACTGTACAATTCTGGAGAACTTATGGAGGCTGAGGCCACTTGTTTAGGTGGAGTATGTGGAGAACCAAGAAGGAAACCTTCAAGAAAGCCAGAAGTTGGACATCGAGCCACTCTACTTCGAAGAAGCAAGGCTTGAGACTTTGTCCATGTACTCAGATACTCAGTCTCTGTGGAAACAGGCGATGTAGGCTTCACGTCTTTGCTCTGTCTAATTAAACTAGTCTGCGGGCAGGAGAAACAACTATCTAGGTATTCTGTCAACAACACAGGACACAACTCCTCTTCTTCAACGGACTCTGCATTTGGTTGAAAGCACCCACAGCCCGATGGAGTACTGTCATCCTCGGATGTTTCGGTTTTGTCCTCTGTACTCTCAGCGATTCTCTCAGTGGTACCAGCAGACTCCAGTCTACCACTAATCACTGCACTCGTCGTCTCGTCACATTCATCGTCTGTTTGGACCTCTCTGGTGTCCTTGGGAATCAACCTGCCTTGACTCCAAGTGAGGTCCACTGTCTTCCAGTGCTGGACTCCTTTCTCCTGTACCTCTAAAGCAGGGGCTTGGGGACATGGGGCACCCCAAAACACATGAATCTTTGGATTGTTTGCCATATTGCCTGTCCTTAAGATGCACTGATATTGGCCCAGTATAAAGATTTATTTTGCCAGTTCTTCTGTCATATTTACAAGTGTATTAAAGTGGCCACCTGCAGGAAGATAGAAATGTATACTGTAGATTAAAACCTATAGACAAAAGCCCAAATAAATATTAAAGGGATAGTTCAGCCAAAAATGAAAATTGTGTCATGACAGTTGTTATTTTTCAGTAAAAATAAAACTATTAAAAATTGTTTTCATTCATTGAAATAGAGCTGAAAAATAAGTATTAGATGATAAAAGGTAAACTTAATGAACTGACTGATAAACTGAACTGAATAAATATGAACTGATAAATATGAAATACTAACATTACTAAAACTAAAATAAAAATAAATTACTAATACTGTGTTTGCCCCCCTTTCGCCTTCAGAACTTAAGGTGGACATTGATGCAATTTTCTTCTAGAAACAAACTTTGGTGTATTTTTTTCATGTTATCACCGCAAAGCTGCTTTGATATGTATTGTAAAAAGCGCTCTATAAATAAAGGTGACTTGACTTGACTTGCTAGAGTGCATTCCTTGGATCAGTTGTTTTCACTTAGCAAAAGAGGAAAAACAGAGCAGTTTAATAAGTGACTCTCCAGAACTTCACCAACCAGATGATGGGCGTAGGCACCATCTGAGCCAATAGCAGAGCCGTACTTCTTTTAAACTCCACGAAGATTTATTGCAGGCATAATTTTTTCGCCTGAGATGAGGGTATGGATGGGGTGGTATTAAGAAGAAAGCAGAATTTCATGCTTCAGCTGATTCAGACATATATTCAATGTGTAATGTTATTACTTTATTTTACTTGATTACCCCACCTGGCATTTAATTCATTAAATTAAATATTTTCTTGAAAAACCACCATTTTCTTCCAAAACCACGTTGTACATTAAATACAAAAAGAGTATTCATGCATGGAGGCAAAGAAAAAATGTAATACAAAGTTTGTCACAAAAAAATAGAAATACCATTTAAAAAACAAAACAAAACAAAACAATAAGTACAGTAATCCACCTGCAGTGATCCTTTGAGTCTGAGGCAAAGGAGCAAATACATTGCAAATATGAGGCATGAAACTACAAAAAAACCATGCACAAAGGTCCTGCAAGAGCTGATCTCCAGAACAGGATATATTTCAGGAACAAATTACAGCTGACACAAAGAAGACATTACATAACACCCCATGTCACTGTAACCCCAGGTGAAATAAATGTGAAAGTACATCTGGTTTTGTCAAATTGTATTTGTAGTGACAATACAGACACAAATAATGTTCTTTTAGTGTCTTATTATTTGAGTCTTATCTGTTTGTGTGTAGATTGAGAGAGAGTGCACAGAACACAGGGTCATTGTCCTTGATTATCCTTCTATGCACGTGCCATTCCAACACAAAATATTGAATCTAATGAGAAAAATATTCTGAAAAAATCCTAATACTCGGTTTCCGATAGGAAACAAACACTATTTTGATTTATGAGACGTGAAGATATAAAGCTACTCCATCATGGCCTGGAACAATTACTCTGACAGACACTAACTAGCCTAATCACTGTTAGCAGGACCTCGGTTGACCTCGGCTGTACAAGAAAAAGCCAGTTTGGATGAGCGAAAACAGAATAACTCTGTGCCCTCTTGATCCCTCTCGATTCTAACCTGTACTCTTCTAGATAATGTTTGAACACACACACATATATAATTATGGGGGGTGACATTATGAGTATAAATTCTTAAAGTTGGTGTTGTCAACATATCTTGCCTGAACAGTTGTGGACAGCAGCAACTTAAATACTTTTTCATATTTTTGTAATATTTTTACATATTTTTAAAATGCTTTTTCCCTAGGTTGGTTCCAATTCCAAACACTTTTTTCAAAGACTATTTGCTTATGGCTCCTGCTCTCTGAGCGCCTCCCAGCTTGAGGTGGAGACCCACGGCACGCCTGTCTTCTGTTTAAAAAAAACTCGCAAACACTATTCAAGCTGACACTTTATTTAGTGTAGTAGAAAAGGGAGGAGCCGAGGTGTCCGTTTAAACACCACGACCCACTCACTCTTTGACACTGTCTATCTTAGTTTTTTCTTTCCTTTATAGATATTGTTCATTCGTGTTTTAGTTCAAACTAAGTCATGTATAGGTATCTGGGGGAGCTCGTCACACGCGCAGCCGCCAGCGGCTCGCTGGCCTCGGGATGCGTCGATTCCGCCCTGCCCGCTTCCGCGACTCTCATGCGGGTCCGCCGTTACAGCGAAGCCGTAGGAGAGAAAGACGATGACCCTAACTTCTTTAGGATGGTCGAGGGTTTCTTCGACCGCGGAGCTTCTATCGTGGAGGATAAACTCGTGCACGATCTCAAGACGAGAGAAACTCCCGAGCAGAAGAGGCACCGAGTCCGAGGGATCCTCAAAATCATTAAGCCCTGCAACCACGTCCTGTCAGTGTCATTCCCCATCAAAAGAGACAACGGGGAGTGGGACGTGATCGAAGGCTACAGAGCTCAACACAGCCAGCACAGGACCCCGTGTAAAGGAGGTAACGTTAAAGTTTGAAATTCACGTATTCGTTACACCGGGTCCGGTGATAATAGGTCGCAGTCGCGTTCTCGATAGCAAACATGCAAGCTCAAACACATGACTTACCTGTACACTGTATTCTGATGACGTAGGTCTGAGTGTCTGCAAAACATATAATTACGAACTTCGTCTTTGTAATTTGACAGAGAGTGATAAATGATAGGCCTTCCTTTCATGAACGTGGAGAAAATCCTGCGTTGTGTTTGCGCAGCAGCGACAGTATGCGACTATCGCGAATTTTGCATGCAAGCGTTTCTTGAAGCACCACACACACACAAAAAGGTAGATTGTTCTAATTTGAATTGGTAAAAGTAAGACTGACTTAACATGTGACTACGTTATGCAACTAGCCTCTGGTCTAGGTGTTCAATAGGCGGTCTAAGATGGTCACTAGCTGGTTTGTTGCAGAAAATGGCCAGGCTGTGCTGTGCCCATCTTAGAACAGACAGAAACCATACCATGTTCCAAATCATAGTTTGACTGCCTTACTGGTAAAACCAGTTGGCGGTGTGTTTGTTTAGTTAGTTTGTTTCTGGTTTATGGTGACCAACATAGACCAGCAAGGTTCCATGTTCAAAATACAGCTTAATAAATTCCTCAATACGCGTTGCATTTTATATTTTATAATATGTAGGCGAATGAAATTGGCCTATGTCTTGCATTTCACCACTTTTGGTCTTCATTTGTAAAGTATTATAGCAGGAATGCTGCCTGTCTGGTCCATGTGTTTATTTACAAGGTAGCCTAGTCCTGCTTCTTAATCTTTATATATATATATATATATATATATATATATATATATATATATATATATATATATATATATATTACATACACACACACACTCACACACACACACACACATCATTTACATTACAGTTTTATCTTTGCAGCAATATTTGTTTGCTTTTTGGAAGTTGTGAATTCTTTCATTATCAGTGGAATTTGTTTGTGTAAGAGCTGTTTCTGTCAAGCTTGACCTTTCCTGGGGTTGTTTGTAAGACCATTACATTTTGCTTCATCAGGACTGACTGCGCAATGCTTTATTAAGGAAGGGAGGTGGAAGACCCCAGCAGTTCAAACATTCAGCAGTTTCCCCTAATGGAAGCTTCATCCTATCAGCATTTTTAAACTATTTTCCCCTTTTTAAAACTGACATGTCATCACCTTAAACAGTTGAATGAACAAATAAAGGTAACTTGCATCCCCTCCTGTTTCCTTTAACCACAATTTTAAGATGTCTAAAAAATTGCACATAAGTTCGGCTGATCTGATCAAAACAGTTTTGGAAAACATCTTATGTTCGCTCTATTGAGTAGAATCAATGGGAGGTTAAGGTTTTACTGTGACTAAATTAATGGCGAGACTTTAAACTGTTGAGCCTGGTGCTTTAGTCAGTGGTTTTACCTTGAAGTATTGCACCAGGGTAACCAGACAAAATATTGTATGTTTTTGCAACTGTAGGTCAGGATGTCTCTGATTGAGGTAGGCCTAATGTGTGAAAGCCTTCATAGTTCACATTGAAGAGGAGGTTTTTGGCTGAAATTTATCCTGTATTGCTTTCTACAATATTGGCTATATGTCGGGCATAAGGAAACTAGGTACAGTAAAGAATATGATCAGCAAATTTCGACTTTTATTTGGTAAAATAAGAAAGAAGATTTAGCAAATTGGTTATAATAGGTAAGAGAATACAGACTTTGGACCACTTGATCAGTAGAATTGCTCATTCCTCAGTATGCAGAGAAGTACTAACGCAGCTTGATAAAAAGCTGATCCTTTTTTTATAAGGTTAAAGTTTCCTTACTCTGTCACAAATAAACTCTGGAAAGATACTGTTTAAATATGTACCGATAACTTTATTTCATGTAATAGTAATTTGAAATGAATTGCTAGCTCATCATCCATGAAATCAAGAAATTTTCCAGTGCCATCCAAGCAGCCTTATAAAGATGATTGAAAACAGAGATGTTTGGGGTAGTTGCTTTGGCTTTATTCACACCCATTTTGGGCCCTGCCTAGATTTTCTTCCCTCATAGTTCAGTGGAGAGAGTGAGTCATCAAAGTGGTTGGTTTACTGCCTGTCCTGCTACACAAATTTTCCCTTCCCATTTTGCAAATGGCAGTTAAACTATTTGAATTTTCAGGCCTCCTACTCCAAACAGGACAATTCCCAGTTCATTATTGTCCACTAAAAGGTCTACTATTGCAGTGGGCAAATATGAAAAATAAAATAAAATAAAAATGTAAAACAATATGAAAGTGTTTTTGTCTGTGATTCCTTTAGTTTTAATCAATAGACAATCTCCTGTCTTAGCATCATAAAACAAGTTAAAATGGGCTATAATGGTTGTTATTTATTTTTATCCTTGATTTGACATTATTTGCATAAGTCTATAGTCTGATGAGGACTCAACACTGCTTCTGTTTCTCCAGGTATCCGTTATAGCACAGAGGTGTCAGTCGACGAGGTGAAAGCCCTCGCCTCACTAATGACATACAAATGTGCAGTTGTAGGTAAGTTCTGTGCTTTAATTTGTTCGTGTAAATTAGTTTGGTTGTGGTTGTTAGTATGAACACATGAACTGTGCTCTCAACAGATGTGCCTTTTGGAGGAGCTAAAGCTGGAGTGAAAATTAACCCAAAGAATTACTCCGTGAGTGATTTCATATTTCCTGCAAAATTATGATTTCAGAAAATGGTTGAGAGTTAAATTAATTACACTCTAATTTGAAATATTCCTCAAAATGAATGGCTATATTTATATTATATATATTTTATTTTATTTTTTTGTTCTAGTGTCTTTCAAGAGCTAGAACATAATTTGCAGTGCAGTTGCATTAGCCTGTGATATTTATTATTTTAGATTTCTTGACTGACATTGAGAAATCCTACAGAGTTTAATGCCTGTGCTGTTAAGACACGGTTTGTGACAGTCCTTCGTTTGTTTGTATTTTATGCCGTATTTAGTTTAACTTTCAGATGAATGACTCCCAATCTACATCTGGAGCAATGAATACTTAAACGTTGTATGCATCATAAAATACCCAACAGACTTTTAATCTCTTTAAAAAAAACAAGATTTGATCAAGTGGTTTTCCTTAGATGTCTCAAGTCATTTTTGCTTAAAGACAAAGACCCAACTCTACACATACTTTCCATTAAACATATATAACTGTACTGTCCCACCTTTAATGCAAGTAGACAACATTTTTATGTAGTAAGCTCATTTAAGGACTTGTTTAGGGAGATTTAACCAGAAAAGGTTTTTAGAATTATTATCATTTGTTAATGTAAAACATTGTTTATAATATCAACCGTAGTGTTTTTCTTATTGTATTTATGCAACTCTTATATTTTTGTAACACTGTTTTTGCCATGGAGATAGCCTAAAATGCTGAGATGACATTAAAAAGCTATATTAGTACTATAAATGTATACTTCCCTATTATCAAACACATTACAGTCACTGATGCTCCTAAATTTTGTTTCTTGCACAGGACACAGAACTGGAGAAGATCACACGAAGGTTTACCATTGAGTTGGCTAAAAAGGGCTTCATTGGTGAGTTTTAAGCAGGCACACACTGAATCTTCTCCCGAATTATACAAAAAGCTCAGCAAAACTTGGAATGCCATTCATGGGTTAAAATCTACACATCCCTCATTCCTTGTGCATGTTTATAAAATATATTTCCTAATATTATTATGTTTTGTCTATCCTTAAAAATGCTTCGTCTTCTGTTTAACACATTGTACCATTCATTTGGTAGAATTCCACAGAATTTCCCAAGTATCAGTGCTGAAAACGCAAAATAGGTCTGCAGATTATGTCAGGGCCTACTAGTTAACTTACGAGGCAGTGCTGCATATTATAAAAGAAAACTGTAATATTTTATTTAGAATGCATTTATAGTGAACAGTAGTTTATCGAGATTTGTTGTTCCCAAATGACATCTGATAAGCATATTTTATATTTGGATTAGAATGAGATGGAAACTCTTATTGCAGAATATTTGACACAATCACACTCATGAACAATAGTCGGGTAATAATCAGCATAGCACAGATTAACAGTTAAGCGGCTATTGACACCCCTTCTACATTGTTACGTAGATTTGAACTGTAACCTGAAAGACTATTATATATATAAACTGCATTCATAATACATGTGTTTCAATAGCTTGTAATAGAGCCAATTGTCCTTTGGTGGTTTATTTTTTTGTGCTGGTGTCCCATATTGCTCTCTGGCAACACAATGTAGATTCTCTTAAAAACTGCTGTGACTGCACAGTTGCCATTATGTTTAAATGTCTAATAACTGAGGTTTTTATGCTTGGCGTTGAAGGGATATTTCACCCAAAATTTTCATTTTTGGGTGAACTATCCCTTTAAGTCTGTTGCTGAGCCATGGCCATGGGAAGGGAGGATTGGTAGCAAACTCATTTCTGTTTCCTGCATTAGGGCCTGGCATTGATGTCCCCGCCCCAGATATGAGCACAGGAGAAAGGGAAATGTCCTGGATTGCTGACACATATGCTAACACAATGGGCCATAATGTAAGTTGAAGAGTGTGACCAAGTGTTTGTGTAATACGCAACTGGTTTGTTTAAGAAAAATCTATGAGAAAATATTGGGGTGTTTGGCAAGCTGTGTTTTTATTACAGATTAATAAAAAAAAAAGGTTCTTCCTGGGGGGCATAAGTCAGGACACCCCTATTTTAAATTTTAAATTCAGATTTTTATTTTTAAAGGCCAGATCATGGATTTTATGGATCCAGAATATTATGGATCCTGATAAAGTTCCATTGGCCTTTGGAATTTAAATAACTGCATAATAACTGGCTAACTGAAATAAAACCATGCCAATCTCTAGGTATGGTGAAGGTTATGTGATGATGTGAGGCTATTTAAATTCCAAAGGCCAAGGGAACTATATCGGGATGCATAGTATCCTGGATCCATGAAATAACTGGCCTTTTAAAAATAAAAATCTGCCTTTCTCTATGGGAATTTAATATAAGGGTGTCCTGACTTATGTACCCTGAATTTTAAGGAAGAACATTTATTTATTTACGATATATTATTCATTCACAAACAAAATTGGTGTCCTTAAAGACTGGATTTTTCCTCAATTTTTTAAATTAAGGCATTAAGACCAGTTTCCAATAGATGATTTTTTTTATTCCTCTTTTTAGTCAACTTTAGAATGGCTGTTTTCACTTATGTTAAACACTGTAGCTGACTGTAAACAAGAAGTTTAGACTGTCATTAAAATGGTTTGCTTATAGTTCACCCAAAAATGAAAATCATTAACATTTACTCACCATCAAATGTTACCAAAGCTGCATGAGTTTCTTTCTGTTAGACACAAAAGAAGATGTTTTAAAGAATGTTGAAAACCAGACAGCTGATGGGCCCTATTGACTTCCATTGTATTTTTTTCCCACTATGGAAGTCAAATTAAAATTTTTTGGATGAACTATACCTTTAAATAATATGATTTACTTACTTAACTTACTTAAAATTTTTGGGCTACCCTACAATCACATTCTTCAGGAATTGCATATCTTGTTTTCCCTAAAAAACATATTTTATAGCATAATATTGTAGATAAATGCTGTAAGTGCGTGCATACAGTACAGGTATTTTTATATATAATTTTATGCATACATTACCTTGATTTGGTGCATTGATTTCTATTGTACATTTTCACATATTGTAGTCATGTTGAAAAATATATTTGTAAGAACTAACAAACAGATTGTCGCTATATTGGGAACTCAGTCAGTGCCTAGATCTTACTCTCCCTGATAAAGAGCGTGGTGTTTATGAGACCAGGAGAACAAAGCATTCCTGTGTCTGACACTCTTTCATTACAGTCTGTCCCCCCATGGCAGTCATTTGCTTGGTCTTGGTAGCCGTGGCGTTCTGTTCTTTTTGCGAGCTGCCCCGCAGCTAGATACATGAAAGGACATGAGAGATATACTGAGACGTCAACAGATTGTTATTCTATATACTCATATCTCTCATGACGAGCTAACACCAAGATCTCATAGCTTTGTGCCTCATAAGTTTAGATTATTCCGGTTGAATGCAAACAAAATTCTTCTAATGATTACAAGGGCTATTTGTAATTATCATTCTTCTTTATCAGGATATCAATGCTTATGCCTGTGTTACCGGTAAGCCCATCAGCCAGGGTGGCATCCATGGTCGTATATCTGCCACTGGTCGTGGAGTCTTCCATGGCATCGAAAACTTTGTCAATGAGGCTGCTTACATGAGCCAGCTGGGCCTGAATCCTGGGTTTGGAGACAAGACGTTTGTCATTCAGGTTTGTGCATATCAGTCACACATGAAACACGCTTCAAGTTTATATTATGCTTTGATTTTCTTATTTTGATTCAAATGGTGTTTTTAGTCATATCAAATCAGTTGGCTGAAGAATTGTTCTCTTTATTCATTGGATTGTCCAATTGCACTGGCTGCCTAAAACTTAAATATGTATTTAAATTTAACAGGGTGTGTTTTCTTTTCCAAAGACCGTAATATTACTCATTCTTCAGCATGAACTTGGTTTAACTCATTCATCTGCTACAAAATAAAATTCAAAATTCAAACAAAATTCGCTCACTCGTTTTCATTCACTTCTTCAAGTGAACTGTATTAGTGGACTAACGTTGGGCTTAATGAATGAGGGTTTAGGGGGCGATTTCTGATTCAGCCAACGTAATTTCCTTGTTATTTTCACCTGGGATGTTTCCATGACAACAAATAGCTGTTCTTAGGACAGAAATGTCTTATCTTAATATAGTTTTTAGCGTTTTGTTAACTCTAACACATTTTGCATATTGTATATCCAAAGTTGTATGTCATAAATATGTAATATCTGTATGTTTTGTAAGAAAAAAAAAGTAAAAAATAAAATTAAAAGTAGACATTGAGCAATAAGCATGTCCCGTCCGTGTTCCGTGACTTATTGGGGTCCACTGGAAACATTTCCATTATGGTCTGTGCTATTTGCAGCGTTTCTGTATTTGGTTGTGTTGTGAGTATTTGGAGCACACATGTGTTCCAACTGATGAAGATGTTTTTTTTATTTGCGGGTGTATTTCTATTTGCATGTGTTTACTTAAATTGCAGCGCATTGATGTTCTTGCACTAAATTCATCAGCATTACAGATTACCTTCAGCTCAGCTACCAGTATGAATATTATTTAATACAGTCTCCTAATTTCTGTGGTAGGGTTTTGGTAATGTGGGCCTGCACTCCATGCGTTATCTGCACCGTAACGGAGCAAAGTGTGTGGGTGTCGGAGAGCTGGACGGAAGCATCTGGAACCCTAACGGCATTGATCCCAAAGAGCTGGAAGACTATAAGCTGGTGAGTGCGAAGAGCTTACTTCCTTTTACAGCAGAGGCGGTACCTGGACACACAAACTGGGGAGGCAGCATTAATGATTTTTATTGGTGTTTCCCTTGGTTAAAATTCATCGCGTTTCTGAGGAGGCGATATATCGCCTAAATTACATATGGACCATTTCACAAGATGTAAACAAGACTGGTCCAGAAGCACTTGCTGTTTCAGTTTGTAACTGTTTTCTTTATTTCACATGTAAAGAAAACATCTTAAAGATGTTTGTTTAACTTTTTGATTCAGTTTTAAATGTTCTGTTGGTTGTATTTTATCCCAGCTTTTTTGTAGTGTTAAAAAACTGAAACAGGAAGTGCTTCTGGACCAGTTTTGTTTACATCTTGTGAAATGGTCTATACTATAGTTACATTCTGGTTGAACCGTAGTTGCAGTGTAAAAATATTCAGTGTAAGGCAGCCACCTTTTGGTCTTTTAGCTGTACTACAAGTGCAATTCTGTAATCTGAATGTGAAGAGTTCAGATGCAAAAGCCTCTAAATGCCATTTGAAATTTTCTTCTTTAATGATGATTTTTATCAAACTTGTATATTTAAGTTCAGTAATTTCACTTAAATAACAATTAATAGGTAATTATCATTGCCATTTAAGTAAAATTACTGAACTTAAATATACAAGTTTGATAAAAATCATCATTAAAGAAGAAATTTTCAAATGGCATTTAGAGGCTTTTGCATCTGAACTCTTCATGTATTAATATAATAAATGCTTTTGTTTTCCAGGCCAATGGCACAATTGTTGGATTCCCCAATGCCTCCCCATATGAAGGCAGCATCTTGGAAGCCGAGTGTCATATCCTGATCCCTGCTGCAAGTGAAAAACAGCTTACAAAGAAAAACGCCAACAATATCAAAGCCAAGGTCAGAGGTCAATAGGGTCAAACAATAGTGCATTTAATGTATATGAGTTATTGATTGAGTTATTCTACTCCAGAGAAAATGAGTGCAATGAGAGAAAAATGTAAGGAAATATGAAAAAAATATGAAAGAAATATCTAAGGTTTCAAAATAACACTTATTTTCACAGATCATTGCTGAAGGAGCCAACGGTCCCACTACACCTGAGGCAGACAAGATATTCCTGGAGAGGAATATTATGGTGATCCCTGTACGTTTTCCAGTCCTAAATGCTTTTAACCCTTTGTAGATGTGTCCAATCACACGTCAGTCAAGGCTGGTCCCTGGAGCATACGATCACACCGGTGTGATTTAAACGTTCAGTGCATCATACAGACCATATAAATTGAAATGGTGTTTTATTTATATCAGATACACATTGTGTTGGTATTAGGTAACTGTAAAATTTACTCTATTCCTTTCCCACTTCACCAGCCACTTACCTTCATGTATTTCAGGAGAAGTAGATGAATTGATGTTATATATCTGAGAGATAAGATTCTCTGAATTACGGTGAAAACTAATATAGTGGCGCCCATCACTTGTTATAAATCAGCTAACATGATCATTATAAAGGTTCATAATAATAATAATAATAGTGATGCGTTCTAAAATAATGGTTACCTTAATGGATTCGTTCACTTCAGAATGAAAATTATGCCATCATTTACTCGCCCTCAAGTTGTTTCAAACGTCTATGAAGGTGATCTCGGAAATGACGGATGCCTAATGTCGGTAACCAAACAGTTGATGGACCCCATTTATTTTATAAATAATGGAAAACAAAACACTAAACATGGTTAAGGTATTTATCTGAAAAAAAAAATATTTAGCAAAATAGGTACAGATTTACTTTTACTATGCAAAAAAATGCATATCAAAAAGAGCATACACTGACTACGGCATAATCAGTTATTAATATTTGATTGGTTCTCGCTTGTTTTTGCATGTGTTCATAATTTCTTTGAATGAAAGCCTGGCCAAAAAGTAATATGATTAAATATCTTTAACAAAGTTAAAAAAAATTAAATTGAAGATAGGCCGGACATCAGTTTTGGCCACTACTGTATATTGGTGTTTAAAAAATATATTTTTTTTCTTTTTTCTTTTTTTTTTTCTTATTGATTGAAGTTTTATATGTATATTTCTATATGTATAAGTATTTATAAGTATTTAAATATGTATTTTATGTTTATTGTAATATTTTAATACTACTTTGATCTTGCCACGAAAACAGCATTTGATGCTAATATGCCACTAAAAATAAATAAATACATGTAAAAATATTCATATGCATAAATAGGACATGTACCTGAATGCTGGAGGTGTGACGGTCTCCTACTTTGAGTGGCTGAAGAACCTTAACCACGTCAGTTATGGCAGACTGACCTTCAAATACGAAAGGGACTCAAACTACCATCTCCTAAGTAAGTCAGAAATACTTTTCCTAGAAAATGTGATGTATAGTCATGCAGTAAAACAGCAATGATATTCATGGTCAACATAATGTGGTAAACGTACACTGCGTATGCTGATAGAAATCTTTCTATCCTTGAATGGTATAATTGTTTGCAAATCACTAACAGGTCTTACTGATAAGCAGTTAATTTAGTTCTCTGGAAGGGCTTGTTTTCCATTTTCTAATTGCTCTAGACTCTAGGTTATGTGCATTCGGCTAGAATAGGTCATGTGGGGTTTTTTTTGTTCAATTTGTTTATTCTGGTTCCACAAGCAAATACAGTGATGCTGGTGCCCCCTTGAGAGGATATGGGCATGTATGCACATAAACACAAACACGTGTCCTGTCCAGCCTTTCATCTGACTGGCCTAAAATGACCTCCAATTTGCTGCTAGTCACATGATGCTGATAGATGGAACACGAGGCAGACAGAAACAGGAAGACACAGACGCATACTGTCAAAACAGCTAGTCCAAAAAATCCTCTATTTTCTCAAGCAAGTTCTTAACAGTTCTCACCGTCATGTGAAAAATCTGTTGAAAGGTGTGATTTTAGATTTTATCCTTTATAAAATATTTAATCCAAAGTCCATCACAGATTTGGACCCCAGAGAAGCTTGGAGGAAAAATAGCATGTGACCATTACTATCTTACATCCATCTGTCAGTTTGCTCATTCCTAATGAGGATCTAATCTAATCTAATGTATTTTGGCAGTGTCTGTCCAGGAGAGTCTGGAAAGGAAGTTTGGGAAACATGGTGGAGCCATACCTATTGTTCCCACATCGGAATTTCAAGACAGAATTGCTGTAAGAATAAAATAAAAGAATCTCATCACATAATTTGTCTCTCTTAACCATTTTAAAATAGACAATTTAGATATCAGACCTTTTATAAACTTGTTTTGCTCCTCTGCTAGGGAGCTTCTGAAAAGGATATTGTGCATTCTGGTTTGGCTTACACAATGGAGAGATCTGCCAGAGTAAGTATATATAATCTATTTAATTTATATATTATATAGAAATGGTCACACTTTAGATTAGGGTCCAATTCTCACTATGAACTATATATAGAGAGAGAGAGAGAAAAAAATGAAAATGTATTCGTGTGGACAAGGCCCCTATCAGGTAAACAAACAGATAAATTTAATCTGTAAAAGGATTGACATTGAATCGATAGTTGAGTGGTTGTTAACATCCCTGATTATGGTTTTGTTAGATGGTATCCAACATTTCTGCATTAAAGTTAAATGTTGTAGTGCATCAATGCCCCTCCAGCACAACCCTTTCTGTCTTTTGATCATGAACAAACAGATACTCTTACCTGTTATCCACACCTAGCAACGGCTTTTGTGTTAGACAACTAGAGAACAGCATCTTGTTTTCCATTTGCTATTGTTGGTTTCTGAGCTCCAGCCTATTAAATGGATCCAGCCTATATCATCCTCCACACCAAATTTGCAATTTATTGAGAGCATTAGTTAGAGGATTTACTAAGCTAACAGCACAATACTCTGTAAATAGCACACACAGTAAAAATTGTTTATTAGACTGTTTAATAAAGCTATTCTTTTCCATATTAAGTCCATTTATAATCAACATTTTGATGATTTTTTTTTCTTGGCTTCTTCATGAAGGATACATAAGATGCCTATTTGAAAAACATTCACTTTGAGAGTACATGTATGATGCTCGGGAGGCAACATACTAGTCTGTCTGTGTTTTGGATAGTTTGATGGAAGAAGTGCCTGCGTGATTTAAAATGCTGCTTCAGAAATGACCAGATTGTTTTCATAATTCATCTTTCATCCTTTTAGCAAATCATGCGCACAGCCAACAGGTATAACCTTGGGCTGGACCTGAGGACATCTGCCTACGTCAATGCCATTGAGAAAGTCTTCAAAGTCTACCACGATGCTGGCCTTACCTTTACATAGACGGTTGTATAATTCACCTGACTCTGTATACCTAAGTCTGCACAGACCTGAGTTATATCACTTAAGCCCACAGCTCCTCACGTTTACATTTTATACGTTCAAATGTATGTTATATCATTTATGCATGTGGTTATGGTTAGCAATAGGCAACTTTAGAAGCATCTATTCTTGTGTAGTTCATCATCTTTTCAAATATTCATGGCTTTTAGAAAAGCCTATAAGCCAAAGTCCCTTTAATTCATATCTCAGAGCATAGCTGGAATGCCTTGCCAGGAAACACCAAAAATGTAGAGCTACATTATTTCAAATCTTTGTCATTTTTTCCTCAGGCCTTGTGTTAATGAAGTAGATGTTAAAAAACATTAAGCTTTATGGCCGTACTACACGGGTCAATTTGGAAACGGATGCAGGATGAATCTCAGGCTTTTTGTATTTTATTAAAATATTGCACATAAATATCTGGTTTTGCTGCTCTTTGTAAAAGTTTTCAGTGATAACCCAACGCCTTCCTTTATAAAATAAAAAAAAAAAGTTATTGACCTTATTGGTAAATGTGTTTAATTTCTTAACAATATGCAAATGGTAGGGTATATATTCAGGAGCAAATGTTTATTTTCTTCATCTTAACATTTAGAATTGGCCTTAGAAAAATAAAGACTTTGTATTGCCTTTTTACAATTGTCTAAAATTAATAAAATATATAAGAAAATGTGCAGTGTGTCAGCTGATTTACTGGGATAATTTCATTTGTGCTTTTAAATGTTACAATTTTTTACTGAAAAACAAAGATTTTCAACTTAAGATTATTCTTAGGCAGTATTAGCTTTAGTGGAAGAAAAATACGGTAATACTTTACTTGTAGGGGTGTGCATAAGACTAACATGACACCTTCATAATCATGACATGTGTCATTCGCTCAGTTATGACATTTTTAATACAAATATGACATTGTTTGAGATCTCTTTGTTATGACACCTTGACATAAACCAATACATCATAGCCTGTCAGTGTCTTTGGCATGACAACTTGACATTACTAAGACAACACATCAAATTATCAAACTTAAGAAACCACCTAGCTTTATTGGTTAACATTACATTAAACTGTCTGGTGGTTGGTTTTGACATTGGCTGTCATGAAGCCATTATAACATTTTAATTACAAATTCAATTAGTACCACTGTTGAGGTTACGAAAAATATTCATGACACAGTTATAATGGCCTCATGACAGCCAATGACAAAACCAACCACATGACAGTTTAACTTAAGTTGTCATGACAAAGACACTGATAGGTTATGATGTCATGGTTTATGTCAAGATATCATAACAAAGCCATCTTAAACAATATCATATTTGCATTCAAAATGTCATTATTGAGCGAAAGGCACTTAATGACAGTTCTCATAAACATGCATAAACCCTACTTCATTTTCAAGACATATGACATGTCATTGTTATGAGGGTGTCATGTCAGTCTTATGCACACCCCTTCAATTAAAATGTTACCAAAAATACTTTTTCAGTAATAAAAATGTTTGTATTCAGCTTTATTCACGAAACATGATATCATAAGGTCCAAATAAAATCAAAATCATGCTCTATAAATTTAAACAAAAAAACTTTATTTGAACAAAATACTCAATATGGATTTAATAAAGATAGTTTCTTGTATTGTTTTAGAAGTGGTCATACATACATAATATATTAAAGAGACATCAAATTATTTACATGAGTAAGAAGTCCATGACACTAGGAGATTTTGCCGATGTTAGGCAAAGTTTGCAAGCGGGAGATTTTTCCTTATTGTCAGAACATCATTTCTCACCGAACCCCATAGCAAGGTCATCCAGTGCATCGTTGAAACCTAATTAAACACAAAATATGAATATGTTATTAAATTTGTGCATGGTGGATTTACATTTTGTAATGTTCTCAATGAAATTATATTAGAATCAAGTTTTGACTTGTGATCTCTAGAAGTTTGAACGTTTCTCTCTGTGTGTGTATACAGTATATTTACTGTTATCATTTTGTTTTGATAAGAAGGATAAGAAAACTTACTGCTGTCTGCTCCACTGTTGCTTTCTGCATTGCTGCCTCCTGCACTGATGGCTCCTCCACTGCTGTTTTCCCCTGGTTTTTCTGTTGAAAGGAGGCCACCAAATATTCCACCTCCGGCCTTTTCCTTTGGTTTATTGTCCTTCTCATCTTTACTTGGGAAAAGATCTCCCATGCCCCCGGTCTTATCAGTTCCCTGTTTCTTTCCAGTTAGTGTTTCCTTCACCTTTCTTTTAGCAACAGCAGCTAGGAGAATTCAGCAGCAATGTTATTTAAAGGGAATGACATTTTTTGGCAATCCACTTTCACACATTATTACAGTTCCTCTTTCCCAGCAGATTGTGGCCAAAAAGTATAGAAATTTCTATTATGTCTAAAAATATAAAGAGTCTGGGGATCTTTTTGTGTGTGTGTGTGTGTGTGTGTTTTACGTACACACTAAGGCATTTCTAGCTTCATACCTTGTAAGGAGTGGCACGACTGGACTGACTGCATTCTCAAGAAATATTTTATCTTTTATAGAGAACAAACACTGCTAGCTTATTGGTTGGATTAGAATTATAAACTAAAAAAGGTGAAACATTACATTAAATTTCATGTTCACTGAAACGATGAGTTTGTGAAAAAGGTGGGAAAACAACTTTCCCAGCCTGCAAGAAATTATATATCTTAAAGTCAATGTTTATGATTTAATTTAGTTAAACAAGTCTTTACATTGTATTTCTAATACATGCCAAGAGAGATAGCCTAACTAAAAACTTCTTTTTTATATAGCTGAAATGAGCATTATTATTTACGTTTCAAGATATTATTTTACTAATAGTTTTTTTAATTAGTTATTATTTTTAATTTGTTGAAGTTTTAATGTTTTTTTAATACATTTTTTAATACATTTTTTTTTTGCGATTAATTGTTTGACAGCCCTAATAAAAATATATTTCAGTTAACTTCAACTTCAGTTAACATGTTTTCATGTTCTAAGTTTTAATGAACTACTGTAATAACCCAAATAACAGCCCTGGAAGTTAGATTATCATGTGTATACTTGAGCCAATAGTTTAGGTAAAACACATAAACAAATAAGATAGCTTTTTTTATCTAAAAAAAAAAATCTCATCATGTCTCACAAAAATAGCTTGAAAGAAGGAACTCACCTGCTTTATCCACTGCCTGGTCAACAAATGAATCTGATGCTTTATTACCCAAAAATCCTGAAAGGAAAGACATGATTGTGGAGTGTGCAGTTGTTGCTGTTTGCAAGAGCGGGTGTATGTCAGTGTGTTGGGGCTAATGGTGCATGAGGTTTTATTATGCTGCTGCCTGAAAGTAAGTCAAGGATGTGTGTGCCTATTGGCTACTGCAGCTTGGGTGTAGTACAAAGATGTCCACAGAGAGAACAACTAGCTTGTTTGACTGGTTTACCTGGTTTTCTCATCATAATAAGTCAGAGTTTCAGCAAAACCTATAGTCATTTAAATATGTAATTACTTTATTATCAGTTTTATTTACCATATTTTACTTTTTTATTTTTTAGTTATTTTCATTTTATAGGTCAGGGGAAATGGAGATGGTTTGGGAGGTATATACTGGGAGGTTCATTATTCTGTCTTCTATAGTATGACTTCAGTTGCATTTGTTTATGTTTTGTTGTAGATGGCTTTACTCTGAGAAAGAGCAAAATGAAGGGCTGATTCACATCTCCATCTCCTCCCATAAATGGAATGTGGAAAAAGCTGAATATAGTTGTCATTTCAAACTTGGATAACGCATGCAGACCATGACAACTTCACAAACGCTGACATTCTGCCAGAGGCAATATTCTTATTATCCACCTTGTTCTGTGCCCGTTCTATTTCCCATGATTCATACCGGATTCAACTGACTAAATGGTTTTCTACTTCCGGTTGAAGTATTTGTTTACATCAGAATACTAGTCCAGACATTAGAAAAATATCAGTCTGCACATGCGTTTTATATTTAATATGAGCGAAATACACATAACAACTTTTGAACTTTTACTAATTCTATGAATTACACTGTTCAAAACAAAATTGCCAAATAACCTGATGAAGAAGGGTCGACCTTCACAGAACATAAAATATTCTTTTTATTTTATTTTTCGTGTTCGCATTTATGAGAAAAAAATAAAAAAAACTATGTTACGGACATGACAGTTCTCCATTACGCACATGGCCGCTCTGAAAGTGGCTTTAAAACTTTCACAGAGACCTTAAAGAGAAACCACAAAGCCTTTCTTTAAAGTGAATTTCGGTTTTTTTTTTGTTTTGTTTTCATTAATTGTATCTTAATTTCATTCAATGTTTCTTTCATTCAATGTTTCATCAACCAATTGTCTGGTTTTAATAAATAAGTAAATATAGTAGAAAATAGATCATCATGATGGAGGCGCCGGCGCACAAACTGGACTCTGGTCTCATAAATAAACCAAAACTCGTCGTTTAATGTAGACTTGCCTCACAGGCCTGAGAAATATTGACTATGCATCTTTGAAAGCAGAGGTAGATGGGAGTCAAAGGCCTAACCAGCCTATTTCTTGGGTTATTCTGCAGCAGTCGGTGGTGATAGAAACTGTCGGATGTTCATGTATTGCTGGATCAGAGATCGTGCAGTCACGCATCAGCTATCCTTAGGAAGTTATGAAGAAAAGAAAAAAGTAAATTTTGTTTTTATCTGTGATTTAATAAAAAATAACCTGATCAGATCACATTTGATGAATGTTTTTTTTTTTTCGATTTAGTTTAGCCACGGGGATGACACAATCTGAAACATGGCAAAAAAGCATATAGACCACTGATAGGCCTATAGAAATATATAGATATAGATATACAGTGATATAGACCAGTCGAACCTGAAGTTGGCAACCAGATTCGTCGTCATGGCAGCGCGCATTGTTTTGAGCAGAATAAGGTGGTGGTATTATAATGTCCAGGGATGTTATCTGTGTCATGAAGTCTTTGTTTGTCGATGGGATGCATATTTAATTTGATGTGCGTGTGCTCTGGGAGCAGGGAGGGGGAGAGCGAGAGGTGTGATCTGAGAAGGGTGTGTGTTTTTGTAGTTTCACTGAATTTAAGGGTGGAGCTGAATGTACTGTATTTATGGAATGAAGCAAACCCATATTCATTACACTAATACTACATAATGTTACTAATTTTCTACTAAGTTGCTTCTTTATGCTACAAATATTGTGAAAACTAGACTTGTTTGCTTTCGCAATATGGTCTTTTAAATGTGTATTAGCAATATTCTGTCTTTAAAAAAAAGGATAATAAATGAGAATGTTTATTTTTCACAAAACAGAATTTATTACAGATGGAGTATTTGAATATTGGTCTATTCAAAAAATCTGCTGTTTTCAGACTTCATTGGTTGACTGTTCAGTAGGTCAAGTAAATGTGTATGAACTGTTAAAGTGTAATTGTGAGGCAACATGCAAACAAATTATGTAATCTAGTTGTGGCAACACATGTTTTTACATTGTTTTAACCTTTTTTATTAGATATGCAAGATTTCAACTCATTTTTTAAACTCAAATGAATTCAACATCCAAGTTGATTTTACTTAAAAATTTAAAGCAGCAACTTTTTTTTTTACATTGATCATTTGCAGATTTGAGTTGTTATATACTTTCGCAAACTATATATAAGAGCATTTCTGAAGCCCGTCACGCTATAACCACACTTTAAAGATAATACTGAAACAGATTTAATCAGCCATATTTCATCATTTAATACCATCAATTGCCTTCTTTTTTGGGATTTGCCCATTTGTGATTCTGTCTTTTCTCAGATACAACAATTTAAGTGTATTTGGATTGGAATGTTTTCCTTTTCGTCACAATGTCTGTGAAATCATCATCATTATCATACATCAAACCTCATTGTGTTGGGTGGAGGAAAACTGGTATATCAGTTTCAGGGCAGGTAAGAAAGACAGACTATATATAAAAATCTCCAAATCACAAGCATGTGCGTAATATATTTGTTAATAATAAATGTGGTAATGACACATAATACGTGAATACTGCATAGCTAGATAAAGGAGTTGTTTTATTCTTGTGGATAGTATTTCTGTGAAGGAAAGTAGGGATAGGTTGTTCATGAGGAGAAAGCAAGAGAGACGTGTGGGTGACTTTGTCTTTTGTAAAGTTAGATATCTTTTAGAGTCCATCGGAGATTTAGCATTATAATATTCAGGCATGGTCAGCAGCAGCTAATGAACTCTCTCTTTCTCTCTCCTATGTGAAGCAAGAAGCAGAGCATCACAGGGGCGTTCAGTGCGACATCAGCCTGCAATCAAACACAAGGATGTTTAGGTACTGTGCAGATTACTCTTCATTATTTGTCAATACAACTTTTTAAACAACTGTTAAACTCACAACACATAAAACAGAGGTATGTTTTATACAAAGCCTTATTGTGTCCTTTACCATCTATGCATTTGTGAGCTTAAGCACATGTGCAATGTTGTTACGGTCTGATAAGACTGTAAACTATGAACTGCTGAATGTGACAGGAGTCAGGACACTGAATTTTGTTCAGTGTTTGAAGGAAGAAAAATGGTCAGATGTCATCATTATTTGCACTTGTGTTAACACTCTGGCCTTCTGAGTTACTTTCTAAAGGTTTTGCTTAGATTTAAAGAGCTTTGCGTAGCCAATACGTGCTTCAGTCATAAAGCTCAATGTTTTCAAAGACAAAGAAGTACAGAATGGCTAGAAAAGGGCTAAACAAAATGCACACAGCTTTTTAAACATGTAGGCCTATGCTTCTGTAAAGAAAGTTTATTCCACATACGGTATACCACCCAATTTAAACTGCATTAAATAAACAATATTTTGATTTGTACATGAGAAGCTAATTTCCAGTGAGTAGGCTATAGGCCTTTTCTATTTTGAATTAGATTTTCTTCTTCTTGTTTTAAGCACACAACCGACAAAATTAGATCAATATTTTTTTTACATTTATGCTATCAAATAAATATGATGATTTGTTGCAAATAGGGGAAAATACGAGTGGAATATTTTTTACAGTCTATGGTGGAATAGCTAGGCCTACTGAAAATGTGTTTTTTTTTTTTTTTTTTAAATTATTATTATTTCTGGGAGTCTTTTAATGGTTCGATATCGGTTTGCCGAGGAGAAAAAGTACAATTTCTACAGATTAAAAAAAAAATCCCATTTCAAGAAAAACTTCTGCTCACTTACTTCACCTACTGTCCAGCGTCTGCAGGCTGCTCTACAGCTGCCTCATGCTTCGACAGCTCCCCCTGGAGGCGGAAAGACAACAAAACATCTCAGCTCTCGATGGCTTTTTCAAATCGCTGATTATCAGATTTTCACATCATCAGGTAGGCCTATTTTTTCAAAACAGAAAAAATATGTGAAATACATATTTTTTTATTATTATTATTGCTTTCTGAAAGATGTTATACGCATGTTCATGTTTGTTTATGTACAGCGACGGATGTGTGGCTATGCTTCGTCATTAGCTGTTTGTAAACAATTTGGGAGCTCTAATGAAAGAAACTGGGATGCGTTTTAAAAATGCAGAGCAATGTTTGGAAAGCAGAAATGGGTTATTTATGAAGAACACACTCTTGCAGAGCAGCGAGTAAAATTCTTTGGTTAGTTGCCGCAGGCCTGCCTCGCTCCTAAACTGCGAGAACAGTAACAGGCAGGCCTATATGAAAATGTATCATTTTATGTATTCAAAAGTATAGATTTTAGTCTTTAATGGTCATGGTCAATCAGCATGCTTTTATTAATAGTCATTGAGCATGCTTTTATTGCATGCATGCATTTATTGAGTTTCTGACAGCACCTCATTATTCTCCAGCTCATTCTGTCCATGAAAGAAAAACATGAGCATCATATAAAAAAGACCAACTTTATGACTGAACTGTGCATTAAGCAATTTATACTGAATGATAAGACTAAATAATAAAACAGTGCACCTAAAGACACCAGTTTTGCATTTATTGGTCACATAATAATGATGCATATGAAAATCCTCACCAGTTTTACCAGGCCAGTGGATACGACCACAGACTCCAGCCCCTCCACTGCCTTTTCTGAGATCTCATTGGCTTCAGCCACTGCACTCTCACCCACAAGATTCACCTGCTCAGTTGTTTTCTGGGCAGCTAGGACAGATGAAAAAACATCCTTGCATTTTGATTTGAGATTTTCCATATATTAGGTTTTTAGGAAAATGACTAGCGTTGTTTAGTTATGTTCTGTTTCTATTCATTCTTTTACCTGTATTTACACTTGTCGCAACGCCTTCCTTTGTCTTTGTGCCTGTCAAAAATAAAATGGTCAGTGTGAACAAGTAATATCGCTGATGAAATGACATAGTTCGCCCAAAAATGAAAATCTGTCATCATCAACTCACCCTCATTTCATTCCAAGCCTGTATGATATATATATATATATATATATATTTTTTTTTTTTCCATACAAAATTCATACATTTTTTTAAATATCTTTTGTGTTCTGCAGAAGAAAGCAATTCATACAAGTTTGGAATGAGTAAACAATGTAAAGAATGACAGATTCTTATTATTTATGTGGAGCGCTCAGACATGCACTCTTGTGAACAAATGCTTTTCCCATAAACTTACACTTAATTTCATCTTATTTTTAGACAGATATCTGTGGCTTCTGTCCTGCTATCCACACACTTAGTCTCGTCTGGCAGTGCAACTATACTGTATGTCCGGCTATCTCCAATACCTTAGAGACTACAAAAATCCTGGCAGGTAGAATTTTCCTCTGATCTACAGTCCGTGTACAGGCTGTTGATTGGCACCATTAAGTGCTATTAAGCTTTACAGATCAAGAAACATCCTTTCTACTGAGACTTTCTCTTTGCATGTTAACGGTGGAAAAAACCCGCCTCTGTTTCTGAAAGGGCCCTGGCATCATTAGAGCTGAATCTCCGTTGCATAAATGGCCCTTGGAACAAGCATAAGCTCTGTTCATTCCCAGAACCTTTGAGCCCACTGCAATGTGTCTCTGAAAGTTGCTCCTCCTTCCCGACATGCGCTCACACAGCACAACAAAAACACCCCTCAAAAGAGACATGACATTGTCCTTGTTGTTCTGGACAAAGAGCTGATTTACTATTAAAAGACATGAACATTCTTCAGGGCTTAGCCTCTGCTTGCGACACAAACATGCCTGGAATCTTGTATTATTAATGTTATAATCAATAAAGACTGAGAACATTACCACCGCCCAACCCCTGCTGCAATATGATGTCACTTCCACAGCATCTCTGATTACATGACGAAGCACAAAACGTCTCTACGGCTGTAGCTTGCTGCTAAGATTAAGAGGAGGAGACTTTACTAAATATAGCTGTGCATGGATTTTAGAGGAAGGTATTATTGATATGTTTCTTTCTTAATCATGTAGCACAAAGATGCCACAGCACTTTTTCACATAACAATACTAGCAAGATATATACCTGAAAATCTATTTAAAGCTTTTTTTATTCTATACATTAGTCTGAATTACATCACCTCACTCTCTGCTTCAAGCCCAATGCTCTTCATTTCTGATTCATACGAGCCTTAATGGAATTAAGTCCTAAAAATAATTAATCTGGACTGTGCTCACACAGCTCTGTGATGAAACTGGTGTTATATAATGCAAAAGAATTTAAAGTGACAGTTTTATGTGAATTATTCCTATATATCTATAACAGGGGTCTCGAAAGTCATAAGTATGAGTATTTATTTCTTGCAAGAAATTTGAGATATGAGAAGGGCGAACATCTTCTCACTCTATAGAGTTTATATACAAAAAGATCCTCCTCCAAAATGTACCCCTACCCTTCTTATCTTTGGACTATTGACCCCTTGCACTCACAGTTCTCAGTTCCCCTATATTGTAACACCACTTATCTATGTATATCCACAGTAAGCACATATGTCACTTCAAAAATGTCTTGCTCTTGATGCAATCAAACTTATCTAGTGCTGAGAAGGGCAGAGCATTCTGTCCTTTTGCACCATCCTATTGATCTATTTGCATAGAAGATAATGCAGCATCTTGCAATTTCTTTAACACATCTACAGATTTGATGTGCTTTTTAGCTGAAATGCAGCTTTCGAGCATTATCAACGGCACCAGTCTATATTAAACCTGACATCATGTTCTCTAGCATGATTTGAGAGCAATGGAAAAACGTTTGACTGTCTATCCGACCGACCATCATTTCTACATTGCAATTTTTCTCTGTTTTCCCATTTTTAAACCCTAAAACTGTTATTTCCAAGTTTACATTTACATTAGATTTTGAATCACTGATTTTCAAAATGGTCTTTCCCCACTAAATAATTTATTATTATTATTATTATTTTTGTAACAGATGTCTATGTGTATAGAGTAGTTGAGATAGAGGTGTGTGTACTGTATGTGTGGGCAGTTTGTCACAGTTCAGGGCAAAGTGCTTTTTAGAGGCTTGAGATTTCTTTGAGTAGATTGAAGTAGATTTTTGGTCTGGAGGAAAGCTTTTACCTCCAGCTGACTGACACATACATACATACACACACCTTCTCCAACATAACTCACAGTCCATGTAATAGCAAGCACATTATGCTTTGTTCATAACACTAACAGAATGACATGTTCCTGTCACTGGTGTGTACTCACACTGAGAGCCATTATGAATCGTAAAAGATTGTGTATTGACCCGGACTGACCCCGGTGGACCGAAAGGAAATGGGATGGTAGTGCTGTGTGCTCCTGTGAGCTTAGTAGCACAGCCAGGAAGAAATTATATATTACTCACAATGTTTCTGCCAAAAGTCATGTACACGATGCAGTCATTTTCATTAACACTATACTGGATTGTACTACCCATATTATATGTTCATATAATTTAGTACTATAGTCAGCAGTAACAATGTAAAAGCCTATTTAGACCTTCTTGTGACATTAAAATAAAGTTAGGGTTAGGGTTAGTTTTTCAAAAAGTGTCTGCCACTCACAGCTCATCGATTGATTGCATCCTGAGGGGTTATTAAAAACAGAAAGTGCTTCCTATCTTCTTCTTCTGCCTTTCTTTATCTCTTTATATCTCCCTTTTTCATTCCCCATCCGTTCTTGAGAGTATAAATGAGATATAAAAAGATGGCTACTGCTTTGGACAGAGTAAGTAACCATGGTATGCCTAGTATCCATGTCATTTGTTTATCAATTGAGTCGGCAGATGAATTTGTGATCTGTGATTGAGACAACAGGCAGGTGGATAGAGCTGATTTTATATTGAATGATAGCTGTTGTTCACTTGTGACAGCAAAGCAGTCACGTGTAGTAATGGGTTCATGCCACAAATCTATCTTCATTGCCCTGGTTTTCATTTTCAGGACTCTTTATCATCAGTGCCAGCATCAGTGATGTTTAGTTTTCTTTTTTACACCATGCAGAGTAAGCGAAACAAACCAAAAAGCTGATGATGATAACATTTTGTTATCATTAAAAAAACTCAATAACTAAATATATTTGATAGAAATAATTCAATAAGATTTGACTTTCTGTATACATTTATTTGGTTAAAATGCTATATATTATTATATTATGTTTGTTATATATAAATATAAACTTTAAATATGATTTTGTAATTGTGCAACTGCTTTCTAAATGTTCAGTTGCAGTGTTTTTAAAGTATGAAAATGGCACACAATACCATGTAAAACAGCTTCGTCTTTACTACACTTTGCTGTAGAAAAAAAGTAAGGAATATTATATTAAATATATTTTTAGACAGTACAAAAACGCCATTCCTGACTTTGATCTAATTCTCTGATTTTTCTCCCCTCAGTTGAATTTGTACATACCTACATACATGACCCCCTCTTTGGTTTTGGCAGCTGCCTCCTCCACCCCAGCCTTGGTTTTCTCGGCGGCGGCCACCACTCCCTCCTTAGCCATGGAGAATCCCTTCTTCAGCGCATCCATTCTGCAATTTGGAGCTGGGTTATGTCCTTCAACTGGAGCTGGATCTCGTCTTATAACTGGTGGATGGAGCTGTGTGTGTTCTCACTGCCAGTGTGGTAAGAGAGTGTGTGTGCAGTTCCTTTGAGAGAGGGATGGGCACTCAGTGCTCAGACAGATTGGGACACCCTTAACAAGAGGAGTAGTCAAGCGGAGGGGGAGAAGGCACGAGGAGAGAGAGAGAGAGAGAGAGAGAGAGAGAGAGAGAGAGAGAGAGAGAGAGAGATAGGGGGTATAATAACAAGTGGGTGAGAGGAATGCCGAGAAATGGAATCCACAAGAAGCTTTTCTGTGTGGCCTGTTTTCTCCAGCCACCCATAATAAATGAGATTCACATACTGGAAGATTAAATTGTTAATGCTGAAATCCAGCATCAGCGCAGCTTCATAAAACTATTAAACAACCTCTTTCCTTAATCCTGTCACAGCACATGCAAACCACAACACGAACTTACTTGCTATCCAGAACCAGTCCCTGTCACACACCATCTACATCCCTTCCTACTGTAGCAGTGTAATTTTAGTATTATTTCAATTAAATTATTTATTAACATTTTGAATGTAAATTTATTTTATATTTCCAGTTTTCAATTTTTCGTTTCTTTGTTATGTGCTTTTGTCATTTTTATTATATTTTTTCTATATTTCTATTTAAGTTTTTTTTTTAAGTTTGAGTTTTTCACCTAATATTTATATCTGAAATATTTTAATTTATTTCAGCTTTATTTCAATTAACAAAAATGTGTTTAATAGTTAACAATGACATTAGAAGTCATTAAAATAAATTAAATTGATCATTAATATTTAGTCATATTAATATGTGGCCAGGATAAGGAACCTGCCATGTTCATCAAATTATAATTTCAATCTGAGTGTATGTTTGCTATCATCTAATAGGGATCCTCTTTAAATGATCACATCTTTAAAAGCTAATGGGAAACAGTGGTATGGGCTGTAGGATAGAATAGGATATTGTCTGATGAAAGCTCATTAAGCTCAAATTGAAATATTTTTTATATTATTGTAGCTGTGGTGTGCCACCTTTCTCTTCCTTTGAGCTTTTGCCCATTGGATGTGTGCAATTTGTGTTAAATCTGTATGGGCTATATACAACAGTGAAATTAAGAAAGTCTCTCATAACTATAATATTTACAGTACATATTTCACTCATAACTATATAATTACATAACCCATTATAAATAACAAAAGGTGTACCTTGATACAAGCTTAATAAAATATATTTTATTAAGCATATTTGAATACATGGATCTCTGAGCAGAAATAGTGTCTGGTCACCACTGGTCATGTGACCTTGTAATCCACCTTCATGATGAAGGTGCTGTAACGCCTTGCATTTCTCAGGACAATGAGAGAATGTAATTTAATACTGGCTGCTCAGAACTCAGCGCTATCGGGTCAATATGTACACGTCACGTGGCAAAAATCGAGGCCCTGGGAGAACAGCATGATCATTACTGAACTAATCACCAACCTGATGACAGAACAGTGTGAAATGTCTCATCCATGCTCTCCCGAATCACTTTTAAAAGCCATATCAAGAGCATTCGTCAAACTTTGGAAAATAAAACTTTCTCTCAGTTGATCTTAGTGCTAATTTAATAGAATTCATCAGTGGACAAAAAGGCCTTTTATGCTGAAAAGCTTGAGTGTAATGCTGCACTATTTTTAACTACATGCATCTTGCAACCTTTAGAGTCAATGTGAAACCTTTTCAATGGTTAATTCATTTCATTATAAAGGCCAGTTTTGTTATTTCCTTTTTGTTGTTTTCTATGTTCATAGTCATGTTTGTGCTTATGTCTTACGTTAGTTGTCTTTTAAGTCTGTTAAAGGATCAGTTCAGGCTTAGACTAAATCTAAAATATCTCAAACTGTGTTCCAAAAATGGTCTTATTGGCTTGGAACGACGAGAGGGTGAGGCATTAATGACATCATTTTCATTTTTGGGTCAACTAACCCTCTAAGAGTTAAGTCTCCTTGTCTCTCTATCTCTTGTTCAGTGTCCAGCCTTTAACAGAAGTCTTTGTGGTTGACCAAACTGATCATCTGACTGCAGTTAATGTAAGAGTGTGATGTAGCAACTGGCGTCTGAAGAGCTGCTTCGAGAAAGGAAAAAATCCGAAAATCTGTGATCATACCCCATCCTGGCTGTGTAAAAATGGTGAGGCTTGAACCAAAAGTATGTTCAAATAAATGTACATTTTTCTAAAGAATTGATTTGTTTCATGTTATACTTGTACACAAATACATTTGTAAGCCAATAAGTAAATGCAGTAGTAGAAATATAGCAATTATCTATTGGTGTAAAATTAAAAGAAAGTATATTGTACAGTATTTGTTGCATTATATTTAAAGCAAGGTAACTTTTAAAAACTTTCTTTAAAGACCTCAAAGTTGAACATTTCCCCCTCCTTCTCTCTCTCTCTCTCTCTTTCTCTCTCTCTCACACACACACACACAATGCCTCCAAAGGGCCTGTTTTGACTTTGAAATCTTTTGCAACAGCTTGTGTTGCCTAGCAATAAAATATTTTTTTCCTTCATTGAACTTGCATCTAAAGAATTAGTTAAAAGGTGAGAACTGTGAGAGGACACTTTTTCTTTACTATTCTAAGTAACTCTTCAAGCGCTACCAAATTTGCACAATAGTGCTAAATAACACATATGTTGAAAACTGTCACAAGCCTTGCTCAAATACCTGTGTATGTTATTGGAAACTGTACGAACAGCAAGAGGCGCAGCAGCACAGGTCTCTGTCCCATCAGCCATTCCTCCTGACCACACTGGAGCTAATACACTGCTTGTGAAGCCTTCCTCAACACAAAAACATATTCTGAATGTCTCTCTCTGCTCACACCTTGGGATCATTTCTTTCTTTTTTTCTAAGTAGTGATTTAAAAAAAAATCCAAGTAGTGATTCTTTAAAAAAAAAAAGTATCGATTAACTTAAAAAAAAAATTGCGATTCATTTAAAAAAATTTATGATGTTTTTTAAGGAAAAACGATGTATTCTTTTTTGAAAAAGTTGCATTTAATTTTAAGGAAATTAAAGAAGCGATTCTTTTTTTTAAAGTAGTGATTCTTTTTTTTAAAGTAGCGTAGTAGCGTTTTAAAGTAGTTTTTTAAAAAAAAATGTAGCAATTAATTTTGAAAAGTAGCAATTCACTTTGAAAAGGTATTGATTATTTTTTTTAAAGTAGCAATTAATTTTTGAAAAAAAAATTGAAAAACTTTACTAAAAGTCAAAAAAAGAATCGCTACTTTCTTTTTTGAATCGATTCTTTATTTGACTTTTAGTAAAGATTCGTAAAAATTGCAATTCATTTTGAAAAAGTAGTGATTCTTTTTTTTTAAAGTAGCAATTCATTCTTTAAAAATTAACAATTCATAAATCTATTCTTAGAAAAAAAGAGAATCGCTACTTTTTAATATGAATCAATAGTTTCTCAAAAGTGAATTGATACTTTTTTAAAAAAATGAATTGCTACTTTTAAAAAGACTCTTTTTCTAAATGAATCACTTTTGAAAAAGAATCGATTCACTTTTGAAAAAGTAGCGATTCTTTTTTTAAGCAGTGATTCATTTTAGAAAAAGTAGAGATTCACTTTGAAAAAGTATTGATTCACTTTTGAAAAAGTTGCGATTCTTTTTTTTAAAAAAATTGATTTTGATTTGCCATTGATTTTGAAAAAGTATCGACTCTTTTTTAAAAAGTATCAATTCATTTTGAAAAGGTATCGATTCACTTTGAAAAAGTAGCGGTTCACTTTTGAAAAAGTAGCAATTCACTTTTGAAAAAGTATCGATTCACTTTTGAAAAAGTATAGATTATTTTTTTTAAAGTAGCGATTCATTTTTGAAAAAGTAGCGATTCACTTTTGAAAAAGTATCGATTCTTTTAAAAAAATGTAGCAATTAATTTTGAAAAGTAGCAATTCACTTTGAAAAAGTATCGATTCTTTTTTTTAACGTAGCAATTCATTTTTGAAAAAAAGTCAAAAAAAGATTCTTAAAAAATAGCAATTCATTTTGAAAAAGTAGTGATTCTTTTTTTAAAGTATCATTCTTTAAAAAATAACGATTCATTTTGAAGAAAAACTATCTATTCTTAGAAAAAAAGAGAATCGCTACTTTTTAAAATGAATCGCTACTTTCTCAAAAGTGAATCGATACTTTAAAAAAAATTAATTGCTACTTTTAAAAAGAATCAATACTTTTTCTAAATGAATCTGTCATGATCCTGTCTCCCTCTGCTGGTCACTCTCATACACACACACACACACACACTTTGCTTTCACTTTCATTACTGACAGCTATTATCACTTTTCATTAGGCTCATTCCTCTCCACCTGTTCCGCATCTCCTCTCATTATCTTGGCTTCTTCTAACCCTCTCTTTCCCTGTCTTGTTGTCAGTTTGTTTGATGTCTCAGATGCTTACAAGCCTGTATCGTTCTCGTTCTGTCCTGTCCTAGCCATTATTATTATTTTTTTTAAAGTAGCAAATTCACTTTGAAAAAGTATTGTTTCTTTTTTAAAAATTAGTGGTTTATTTTGAAAAAAGTAGCGATTCACTTTTGAAAAGTATCGATCCACTTTGAAATAGAATCGATTCACTTTTGAAAAAGTAGCTATTCTTTTTTTAAGTAGTGATTCTATGGAAGTAAAATAATGTCAATTTTTTTTAAACAAAAAGCATGTTGAATTGCACCAATTGAAAAAAATGAATTGTGCTTAATCCATTGTATTTTTAAGGCTTGCATTTTTATGGGCTGAAATTCAACATGGTTGAATATTTAAGCTGTGAATAATTCATTTAAAAACATTTCAAACACATTTTCATGATTAAAAATTCAATAATCCATATTCACCTTTCATATTTCACTTACAAAAAAACTGTTTAAAAATACAACCTATAATATTTAACAGGCAATTTTCGGGTCCATTTTATTTCGCCTTGAAAATTCGCTTCCACAAATTCAGTGGTTCAAATTCGACAGTAAATTCAACAGTGACGTCCAGGAACTGCAGGAAAAGCAATAGATTACCGTGCATACTCTCCATCTGCTTTTAGTCATCTTTACCAGCAGGGGGTGCAAGCGCGTGTTGAAACAAAACTA